AGCCCTGTCTCTGCCCAGCAAGCCCCCTTTTCCTCTGGTCCGCTTCCTCTGCTGGCCTCTGCAGGGGCTCTTAAGACGTCTCTCCCCTTTCTGCAGATATTCCCCACTGGCTTTGCTCTCACCCCCTCCCCCTTAGCAGGTACCTTTGATTTTCACTGCACAAAAAAGATAAAGTCATCAGAACTCTTCCAGCTCCCGTCCCTTAAAATCTACTCAGTCACTTGCATTTGCCCCCAGCTGGAAAGCAAGGGTGCGGGGTCTCTCCTGTATGGAGCCAGTCCTTTCACCAGTGTAGAATCCCGTTCTTATTGCCCAGCCTTGTTTCCACATCCAGCCTTCTCCCTTTCGGCTGACTCGAGCACAACAGCATGTAGTACAACCTCCTCTCTCCTATCTCAAAGAACAAAAAAGAAAAATATTCCTGGACCCAGTGTCCCATCCCACTATTGTCTTTCCCCTCCCCTTCAGTCCAGTGTCGTTGACTACACTCGCTGTGTCTGCTTCCCTGCCTCGTATCTGCCGTTCGTCTTCCATCCCACCAACCCTGCCCACGGGGCCACTCTCCCTGAGTATAGCAGCGACCTGTTTGTGCCTTGAAGCCAGTGGACATCGCAGTCATTGCCTTACATGACTCTCTTAGCGTATTTTAACACCATTGATTACTTCCTTCTCAAACTCTCTTGGTTTCTGTGATACTGATCTTTTCCTTGCCGTCCCCTCTCTGGCCTCACAGCCTCTCCTGCTGCCCCACCACCTGCTGTCTGTGCTTTAAATGCTGACACCCCTCAGAGTGATCTCAAAAGTCCGCCTCCTCCTCACTCAGCACCCATGCCTCGTTAGTCTCAACCATACCCAACCTTCATTATCCATCTACCGGCCAATCTGTATATCTAACTCAGACATTGCCCTTGGGCTTTCAGACCACTCACCTCCAACTCCCTACCAGATGTTTCCTCTTGTTTCGATGATCCACAGATACCTCAAAACTAGGATATCCAAAATTGAACTCCTCTCCCCATCTTGCCCTCCACCCCTGCCTCCAATCCTGCTTAACCTCTTCTGTCCTCTATTTTAGTGGACGGTCCTACTCTCCATGTACTTTTTTTTAAGTTAGGAAACTGAAAGTTATTTTTAATCCTTCCATCTTACTTCCAGACAAGAAGCTTTGACAGTGAAACAACATGTCCATAGACTAAAAGTAGAGGAGGCTTCAGAAGTGGCCCCTCTCCCCCTTACTGTCCATCGGTTACCAAGTTACTACTGAGGTCGACTTCCTACACCTCACCCAGATCCACTCGTCTGTCTCCAATCCAGCTGTCAGCCACTGTCATCTCCAGGACTCCTGCTGCATCTTCTCAACTATTCTCCCCACTTTTAGTCCCGTCCCTTCCAACCTCATCTCTACCCAGTGGCAGTGGCCAGAGCGATCTTTTTAAAAGTCAAATCTGGGGGCCCCTGGGTGCCTTAGTTGGTTAAGTGTCCAACTCTTGATTTTGGCCTAGGTCGTGATCTCAGGGTCATCAGGCTTTGCACTCAGTGCGGAGTCCACTTGGGGTTCTCTCTCCCTCTCTCCTCCTCCTCCTCTGCCCCTCCCTTGGCTCACACTCTCTGTCTCTGCCTGTCTGTTTCTCTCTCTCTCTCCCTCAAATAAATAAAATCTTAATAGTAATAAAAGTCAAATCTGCTCATGTATTTCCTATATAAATGCTTCAGTGGCTCGCCATCGCCCGTAGGCTGAAGTTGCTCTTGAACGTGGCCTCAGGCCTGGCCTGTTCTTCCCGGTGAGCCCATCTCCAGCCACACTCCAGTTCTTGCTATACTACGCAACTCTAACTCCTCAATGATCACTCCTCTGTGTTCTCTGGGCTTTTCATACATGCTGTTTCATTTGCCTAGACAACTGATCCCTGTTTGCTGAGATCATTCCTCTGCATTCCTCGGGTCCTGGACGTAGATGTCTCTTCTAGAAAATGTTTTTTGACCCCGCAAATCCAGCTTCAGTGACTTTCCCCCATGCCTCCCCAAACTTTGTGCATTTCCCCTGTCAAAGCACTCATCACATGGAATTACAGTCGTCTGTATCCACTACTGGATTGACTTGATCTCTGAAGGCAGTGCCTGTGGCCGTCTTATTATGTGGAATGTGTGAGCCTCCTTTGCAGATGGCCACAGAGCCCTTTTTCTCTTCCAGCTGTGACTGTAGGTTGAAATGAAAAAGGCAGCTCTGAAAACAAGGCTTAGTGAGGTAGGACCAGCACCAGCAAACTAATTTGCTTCAAAGTTTAATGCTAGCCAAGTTGCTTACTCATGTTCTGCCGCCCATTGCTCTGGGTCTGTGGCAGCAGTGAGAGTGGCTACCTGAGCTGGTTTCTTACAGAGTGTGGCTCTGTGGTGCAGATTTTAGTCTGGAACACAACACACCCTGCTCCATTTTATCTTCTCTCCTTTGACCCAGTCTCCTGCAGGTTGAGTTGTTAAAGAACAATGAGATGTCAGAAATGGAGACAGACTAGAAAAGCAGGGGTAATCTGTAATCCACAGATTAGTGAATAAGCCTTTGAACATCCCAAACCACCTGTTGCTGAATACAACCCAATTGTTTTACCATTCCAGAATGTCTTAGATAGTCTCTGGAATGCCACAGATACTATAAGTCCATACCCTCATTCAAGGATAACATTTTAACATTTTTAATACGGTAAGGAGATAGAGGTTACATTTTCGTTCTTTTAACAGGTGGGGTGTAAACTGGATTTGCAAAACCTGTGTCTAGGCAAAATGTTTTACTGCATCTTAGGTAGAAGATCCAGATTTGTATAATATTCTTTGGCAACTGTACATAGTCCCTGGTACAATCAGACCCTTATATGTGGACATATCCAGGATCCTAATTCAGGAATAATCTTCTAAACTCTATTATAATAATGCCTTATATTTGTATAGAGTTTTACAATTAACTAAGTACATGCAAGATCTTAGTTTGACCTTCCAGCAACTCTTTGAGGTAGGTGGCTCAGGGGTCATCACCCTCATTTTTGCAGAGGAGAAAATGGCAGAGCAGAAATCACACAGCTAGTAACTGAAGGAGCCAGGACCTGCGCTCAGGTCTCACAGTGCCCGGTCCTGTGCTCTTTCCATCATGCGACACACCTTTGTATTCAAAATTGTATGTGTGTGAGTGTGTTTCATGTATATGGGGGACAGTTAATCAGACTTCTCTTTTTTAAGATCTGGACCACCTAAGAAATAGGTATGGCTCATCATATTAGTTTTATTGTGGATAATACTGGATTAAAAATAGAGCCTGGACACATGACTTACGTGGGCTTTCTGCTCTTCCCCCTCCCCCACCTCTCCAGCTCAGCTGGACTCATCCACGTGGTCCCACGTCTAGTAGCAGGACAGCCGCAGGCCTCCCTGGTACAGAGGCAGATGCACGGTCTTGCTTTGAGGAGAGGGGCCCTCAGGCGGCTGGAGAGTGAGCTGAGGTGATTCCAGGCCACACGTGACCACCCCTCCTTCTCCCCTAGGGATGGGTGTGCCCGAGGAAGGAAGAGGATGGCAGAAGTCTTTCCGCAACCCTTCTGAGAGGGTGTAGGAGTTCCTCCTCTGTGGACTTTGTAGGGCAGGACGAGTATGGGGCTTCCCGCGGAATTAATTCGCTTGGGGAGGAAAGACTGGAAGCTCCTTGGGGGCAAGGACCTTTTATGTCGTTAGACACATGCTGTCCCCCCAAGTATATAGCGTAGGACTGAACATGTAGTTGTGCCCAACAAATACTTGTTGACCAGTCTGTGATCTTCACTATAGCTTTGTTGCAGAGAATAAATATTGTCAGAGATGGAAAGACCCAATTGGTGAATGAAAGGTGATTTAAAAACAGTTGCACTTTGTCTTTTTGACCCACCTGAAGGCATGCTGGCTGGCAGCCACACTGTCCCAGCCATCAGACGATGCCCTGGCTGCCCCAGCAAGCTGCCTGACTAGGGGCTCTTCCTCCACAGACGGCACCCGAGTGACTCCTCCCTTTTGCTGTCCTTCTCTGCTCAGTGCTGGGATCTTGCGTATTCTTCTTTCAACATATGCAAACAACTTTAAACCCCCCCCCTCCTTTTCTCTCTCTCTTTTTTTTCTTTGTTCAGCTGCTGGAGGAATTTTTTCTTCATTCCTGCTCTACTCCCTGCCCCTTCTCTTAATCACTGTCCTTTTCTTTCTCTCCATCTCAAATTCCTCTCTTAACTTGGTAGATAAGTAGAAGAATAGTGCTCATCGAGGGAAATCAGAGGGGGAGACGAACCATGAGAGACTGTGGACTCTGAGAAAAAAACTGAGGGTTCTAGAGGGGAGGGGGGTGGGGGATGGGTTAGCCTGGTGATGGGTATTAAAGAGGGCACGTTCTGCGTGGAGCACTGGGTGTTATGCACAAACAATGAATCATGGAACACTACATCCAAAACTAATGATGGGAATGTATGGTGATTAACATAACATAATAAAATAAAAAGAATAGTGCTTATGATAGTCTTTCTGCATCAAGAAGTAACATTAAGAGAGTGAGTTTTTAAGTACCTTGAAAGTTTCCAGAATACCCACCTAGAAAGCCAGCAAATATTTTCTTTTCTGTTTTTTAATTAAATTGCTTTTGCTGAAGCACCAGCACTAAGAATAAATGCACCTTTTTATGCAATTTTCCTTTTGTTTAATAGTGTGAGTACAGCGCTACCATTTTTCATGGCAAATGGGATTTCAACAATGCATACCTTAAACAAGCTTTTATGAGCCAAGTTAGAACCCAGCTATAACTTGTCATTTCTGTGGGAAAACGCACACTATTTCCAGGTTTAGAATCGCCTGTTGGACACAGCCAGTGTGTTGTGGGTTCTGGAACCATTTTCGTCTAGGGAGTATCCTTCCTTTGTCAAGTTCCAAAGCAACCTGGGAATAGAGGAAATTTCTTTGCTTCATACGTATGACTTACGAACTTCATGTTTGTCCCACAGGAAAAGCTTTTGACATCACATACGTGCGCCTCAAGTTCCATACCAGCCGCCCAGAGAGCTTCGCCATTTACAAGCGTACGCGGGAAGACGGGCCCTGGGTTCCTTACCAGTACTACAGTGGCTCATGCGAGAATACCTACTCGAAGGCAAACCGCGGCTTCATCAGGACAGGAGGGGATGAGCAGCAGGCCTTGTGCACGGATGAATTCAGTGACATTTCCCCTCTCACCGGGGGCAACGTGGCCTTCTCAACTCTAGAAGGAAGGCCCAGTGCCTACAACTTTGACAACAGCCCTGTGCTGCAGGTAATGCATTCAGAAGCTGGCTTTGTAGTCCTTTAGTTCCTCCACGTGCATACAGGATGCAGGAAGATTGTTGTATGGGGGCCTGTGGTCCCACTTCAGAGGTAAGGGTATGGTTAGGAGATTCCAGGTGGATTTTATTCTGCTCTCCTGTATATTCTCAGTATGTGAAGGAAAGTAGCTTTGTTCCTGCCACCCAGGTGGTGTTCTTGTGTTCTCATGTACCTGTCAGTGTATTCTGGGATATAAATTTTAGAAATTTTTTAAAAAACTGAACAGTTTTAACTTGTGTCTTTACTTGCAGTGGAAACGTTTTGCTTCTGACCTCTCGAGGAGAGTATTTGAATCTACCCATTCTTTTCTTTTTCTTTTTTTTTTTTTAAGATTTTGAGAGAGAGGGAGAGTGCATGTGTGCACATGGCACGCGTGCATAAGCGGGGGGGGAGGGGCAGGGGGAGAGGGAGGAGCAGACTCCCTGCCGAGCAGGGAGCCCGATGTGGGGCTCGATCCCAGGACCCTGAGATCATTACCTGAGCCAAAGGCAGTCACTTAACTGACTGAGCCACCCAGGCACCCCATGAATCTATCCATTATTTCCACGACCTTCCTTATCTCTTCCTTCATTTGACCAAAGGAAAAGTGTTTTTTAGTATTCAAGAGGGGGACCAATTGAAGCAAGATATTTAGGAATGCCATCTTCCTTCATTATTGTGCAAGGACATGTGGACTGGGTTTGTCTGGCACTATTGTCACTCATAAAACCTTCTCATCACCTGACAGTACTGGTGTTTGTGACAGGGTATAAGTGTAGGTACCCGTGGTACAGTGCTTGAGCATCACAACAGAAACCTTTCCCCATTTAAGCATAGAAAGAATTAAAGTTTTCTTTTTCTCATAAATTCTATGTAATATTCTTCATACACCATAATTTGGAATCTTTCTGTAACACAGAATTGGAGATGCTTCTGTCTTTTGGCTGAAGTTGACATCTAAGTGGGGGCAGCCTGCCTGTATGAACTCACTGAGACAGGAAAGACTGGATGTGGGTTTGCAAACTCTATGTATGTTTTATGAAATGCTGTTGTCATTTCTAAGTAGGGAGAAATAGGGAGTCCCTTTATTCTGGGCTTTATGCTTTTTTTTAAGATTTATTTATTTATTAGAGGGAGAGAGAGCGTGCATGAGCAGTGGGGAGAGGGAGAAGCAGACTCCCTGGTCAGTGGGGAGCCCGATGTGGGGCTCGATCCCAAGACCCTGAGATCACGACCTGAGCCGAAGGCAGACGCTTAACCAACTAAGCCACCCAGGGGCCCCTTTATGCTTTTGTGGCTTCCAGTCTTTCTCTTGAAGTTTATTATATTCAAGGACTCTTTCTGATTTGGCCATGTGGTTTTGGATGGTGGCAAAAGATGAGAATATGTTTCTCTGTGGGTCTAGTTCTTCCCTTCTATTGTATTTCTGCAGTTTGCTGGGAGATTGTGAATCTTGACCTTGCTAAACTCTGAGGTTCTGGTGAGCAATGAGTATGTTTGCAAAGGCCTTTCAGTAAAGTGTTTCTTGCAATGGTAATAAGATGTGTTCAGAATAATGAGTAGAAAGAATAACTGATTTTGATAGATGAAAAAACAGAAGGCGGAATGTATAGGGGAGATGTGATCTACAATTTTTTTAAGTTGATCAACTAGCAGACATTTGCTAGCTTAGTTTCTTCCTATACCAGTGATTGTATTTGACGATCCTGCCGAGGCAGTGGTACGGGCAGCAGGAGAAAGCAGTGACCTGTGTGACTGTGTTGTTCTGGCACCTCTGCCAACGGGATGCCTTATCAACCTGTCTTGAAGCAGTTCCCCCAGCTGTAGGAATTCTGATGTTTGCTACTGTTTCCCCGCCCCCCCTCAAGTAAACTCTACACCCGACATGGGGCTCGAACTCATGACCCTGAGATCAGGAGTCACATGCTCTATCAGCTGAGCCAGCCAGGTGCCCCTGATGTTTGCTACTCCTTATTCCACAGGAACTCATGAGACTAAATGTGGTAGAAATGCTATGGGCATCTGTAATAGATCTGGTCAGTTGCTGTCGTTATGCAAAGACATTAATTATGTGTCTCTGGATGTAAGAGTTCTGGTTTTCATACGCAGTTGCCAAGTAGGGTTAGCTGATCAGACTTCAGCTGATTTCACAATGATAACAGATTTGGCAGCTTAGCTGATATGACTGTCTCTCCTCAGTGCCTCCTGTGCCTCTCTCCAGAAGCTGTGATCTCCCAGATGGGACAGGAGACCCTTCCTGGTTTCACTGTTTATGAATATTACTAAGCATGTGCTGATTTACAATAATAATAATCAGCATTTATTATAGCACTTATATAATGTGCCATAATGTGCCAAGCAGTGTTCTGAGCCCCTTAGATAGATTAGCTGTATTTACTATGGACGTATATACACACTCTCTATACTGTTTACTCATTTAACCCTCACAGTAACTCTACAGGTGGATACTTCTGTTAAGCCCATTTTACAAATGGGGCATCGACATCATTTCTCAGAAGAGATCCAATAACTTGCCCCAAATCACCAGTTTTAAGCACCCAGAACTGGGATTCAAAACCTAGAAAGTCTGGCTCCAGAGCCTGTTCTTTTTAAGATGCCTGTTGTGGGAAAAAAATGACTTGGACTCAGCCCTTGAGAAGCTTTTATTCAAGGAGAGCTGTGATAAAGATGAAGCTTGAAGGAGATATAATAAGCATTAAACACAGAGATATGTTGAGCTATTTACATTACAGACGACTCAAAGATTCCTCGCATTGTGGCCATGAGTGGGAGCTGTTACTGGAGTTCCAAGTTTGGATGCAGTGGAATCATCATCTCTTTTCCTTTCTAATTATACTTGGAGGCTTCACGGGGATTAGCTTTTATGAGCCCTCTAGGTTGCTCTCTGTGCCAGGTGTTTGGCATGGTTCAGGCCGTGCTGATTAATCAGGGGCGTGCCTCCCTGTCTCGCAGGGAGCCTTCTGAAAACACAGGTGCCTGCAGACACTTGCTTGGTGCGTCTCCGTGGGTGATGCTGACAGGCAGTCCCAGGAGGGGACTTTACATGGTATCTTTGGGTGGTCATGGGTCATATGCCACTCCAAAACTTAGTGATTTTAAATGACCACGATTTATTATTTCTCATGATTCTGTGTTGGTTTGGGCTCACTCACTGGCAGGTTGGCTGGGAGCTGGGTTTCTCTCCCTCTGTGGTCTTACAGCTTCAAGGAGGCTAGACTAGGCTTCCTGGAGTGATGGCAGAAGTATTCCAAGAGGGTAAGCCCGGGGCACAAGTGCTTATCAGACTTCTGCCCGTGTCACATTCGCTCATGTCCCCTGGGCAAAAAGCAAATCACATGCCCCAGCCCAGAATCAGGGTGTGGACACTGGTAGACATGATTCATTGGAATCATTATTCTAACAGTCCACCACAGCTGTAAACATCTGACTAAAATTAGCTCAGTGAAAGGGCATTTATTATAAGGGCTTAGATCTCATAAAACCTAGGGGGAAAACGTTAACTTCCATTCTTGTCTTCTGTCATTATGGTACACCTACCAATTTGATCAGCTGTGGTTTCTTCAGATTTGTTCATTTGCTCAGCAGATGTTACTTGAGCACCTACTGTGGGCTAAGCACCAGGGAAATTGCAATCAACAAAGAAAATAAGTCCTGCCCTCGTGGGGCTTACAGTCTTGGTGGTGGCGGTGGTGGCAGGCTGGGGGTGCGGTTGTGGTGGTGGAAACAGACAATATAAATAAAATAGGCAAGTGAAATAGGATGTTGGGGTGGGCAGCAATTCTAGGTTGGGTGGCCAGGAAAGGCCTCCCAGAGAAATGAAATTATGGGAAAGGTCAAGACAAAAACCGCATCTGATTGGTTCTGGCCCGTGTCATGATTTATTACTTTGTACTTGGATGCCTCTCCCAGATCTGTCCGTAGCAGATCGGGGATGGAGGAAGAGACAGATGGTACAAAATGGCCAGGCGGAGGCGATGACCGGCATATCTCATGCCACCATGGTGCTCCATGAGCTCTGCGCTGGTTTCTTGGACTGGATTTGGGGTGCGGATACAGGCTGGAGAGAAGGGACATAAGTATTGAGTACCTCCCGAATACAAAGCATTTAAAAGTGTATTCATGTAAGCCTCTCAACAACCTTGTGAAGAAACGAGTAGTATTCCTGCTTTTTGGGACTCTGAGTGGTGACACAACTTAGATCAAAGAAGGGAGAGTCAAATATTAGGAAATTAAGGGAGTCATTGGGCATTATAACAGATTTAATGCTAGAAGAGGACATAAGTCACATGATATATTAACTATTTGAAAAATTTAGAAAATTTTGTCCATTTATGTCTCTCATCTTCAGCCCCTTTACCTTTTTCTGTTTTTTTCTTTTCTTTTCTTTTTTTTCCTCCTGACAGGAATGGGTAACTGCCACTGACATCAGAGTAACTCTCAATCGCCTGAACACTTTTGGAGATGAAGTGTTTAATGACCCCAAAGTTCTCAAGTCCTATTATTATGCAATCTCTGATTTTGCTGTGGGTGGTAGGTAAGTAGACTGTTAAATAACTTTGAAAGTGACTGGAGCTGTGGTTTAGAAGTGAGCGTAGCAACTTGCCTACAACCATATTAATAATGTTGTTAGACCTTCTCATTATCCTGGAAACAAAGTAATTAGGTTTTCTAAAACCTTGTCAGATCAGCACAGTTGGTGAATTCTTACTGAGCACCTCAGTGCAAAGGTCTGCGACAGGCCCTCTGAAGCCACCAAGGAAGCATGAGACATTCACCTGCTGAGAAGGACTTGACCTTCTAGCATCCTACAGATGAATGGGGCAGGCGATATATGAACGCGTGAAAAATTAAAACACATGTTTTAGATAAAAAGAGGCCATATATCAGAGAATGAGACAGAACTGTCAAGCTAGAGAAGCAGATGGAAACTAAGCGGGGCCTTGAAGCCTGGATAAGGAAGGAGGATGTGTGAGTGGGGTGCAGGATAGGCATGTCATGAGCAGGAGTGTAGGGTTGGGAGATTATAGACCTGCTCGGCTTAAGGAACATCTCCTCTGTGAATTTGTAGAGTTGACAGAGTGAAAGCTGACAGAGACTGTAATCAATGAGAAACCATGTACTTTTTGAAGTAGGCCGATGATATCTAAACAGTGGTTAGGAAGATTAATGGCAGACACGGTGAAAGTAGAGTACCAACGAGAGAATTTATATTCTTGTTATGATGCTGTGATCTGCGTGTTAGGTGACAAATACCTGACATTAGGGTGGTGACAATAGAATGGAAAGAAAGGAACATTTTAGATGGATTTTATTGTGAAGCAAGAATTATCAGGACTTTAGTCAAAGATGATTTTAAAGTTTAATGATCTGGAGAATGGTGGTAGTATTAATGAAGTAAATGAAGAAGATGAGCTAATTTAGGGAGATGATGAGTTTAGTTGTAGATATGTAAAATTTTAGGTTACTGGGGACATCTGAACTTGGGTACCAGTCAAGGATAGGAGCTTGGGAGAAAGACGAGAGCCGGGGATATGAATTTGTGATTCATCCTGGTCTACTGTAGATGTTTTGGAAAGGTTTGAAACGTCTTACCAAGTAGCAGTGGGAGCTATGCGGCTGATTCTATCTTTAAGGAAGCTAGTGAGGGAAACATCAGGGCACCAGAGCATGTTTAAGTATTCATGGGCATTTCCATGAGCCCTTGGTTTATGATTGTCCCTGCATCTAGGGCTCCTTCGGGGATTCTTGCCCCAAACAACCTTGAGGGAGTATCAGGCTACCAGAGTTGCGTATGGTGGTGAGGTGTTGACTGTCTCTTACTACCTTCAGATTGGGATACTTTAAAATCATTATGACAGATAACAGCTGTGACCTAATTTTTGACTTGTAGTATGCCTGCACAATCTTAGGCACGTGAATAAAGCAGCTTCTTGATCCTCCCAATAACCCCATGAAATTCACACTGTCAACATCCCTTTCTTATGGGTAAGGCACAGAGGTTAAGTGACATTGGTAAGTCACAGGGCAGGTCCCAACCCACGCAGCCAGACTTCAGGGTCCTCGCTCTGCTTAACCTACACGTTTGGCTGCTACTTGATACATACAGGTGACTTCCGGAAGTGATCCCAGAAATTGTAGAAGCCTCCGAAATTGCTAGAGACTTTCTTCTCCTATCTTGTTAATGCCCCATCCCCTATTAAATAAAGATATTTTGGGGAGGTTTCTGTTTTTGTTTTTGCTTGTTTAATTTTCCTTCCTACCTGAAAACTCAAACTGCCATTACTTAATTTTGCTTAGCTCCTCAGTTTATGGTCTTGAATGGTCAAACTAAAAAAAAAAAAAAAAGTCGAAAAACAAACCAAAAACATTCTGGGATTGTGTTTAGTTCTCTTTGTACATCATTTTTCAGCATCCATTTCTGGGACTTGGTGGCCGTTTCATATTTTTGGGTGTCTGTTCTCTTCCTAGGTGTAAATGCAACGGACATGCAAGTGAGTGTGTGAAGAATGAATTTGACAAGCTGGTGTGTAATTGCAAACATAATACTTACGGGGTAGACTGTGAAAAGTGTCTGCCTTTCTTCAACGACCGGCCGTGGAGGAGGGCAACTGCAGAGAGTGCCAGCGAATGCCTGTGTGAGTCTGTTGAATTATCTTGAGGACTTCCAGAGTGGGGAGAAGGAATGGTTGACTTCCTTCTGTTCCTCCTTGAAAGGAGAACTGTAAAAGGCAGTGCTGCTTCTCTAATTGGAGAGCATAGAATGGTAAACTATATGCACATCAGAGGAAAATCATAGATGAAGGCAGTTGGCTATGAATAAAAAAGTATGTTCATTTTGTTCAGTTTCCTTCGTGAACACACGTACCAGAGTGGGAGCGGCATCTCCAAGGTTTGGAACTTCGCTTAGATCTAAGTGCTGGGCCAGTGTAGCCTACTATAAAACATGGTTTCTCTAGTTTTGTCTTTGCTGCACATTAAAGTAGTTTCCTACCAACGGTCATTTTCTCAAGCAGTCAGGGTCAGTGATGAACATGTGTTGGGTGTGTTGAGTTCTAGACTGAGCCTGCCATTCAGAAGATCATTTCTCAAAATTACTCTTCCCTTATTTCACTAAAGAGCACAACAGGGAGAATTTTCCTACTTCTCCCATGCAGAGGTGGGTGGCTTTGGGAAGAAAAGTAGATCCTAGTATTTCTAGAAAAGGGTAAAAGAAGAAAGATTGCACATTGTTTTACCCCTTCATCATGACTTGGTTTATTCTGAACAGATAGAGAAAGAAGCCTCAGGAGAAAGGAACCATGAAACTATGTAATCATGCTGTGTCAAGGACTTAAAAATAAACTTTTAAAGCAGCTATGATTTTTATGACCTTATAAATATTTCTTATCATATACTCTTGAAAAGAATAAGAGAGACACTCTGAACTCACTGGAGTTATTGGCAGAAACCTTGAGAAATGACCAGTATCTTGACTCATGACTATTTCTGTTAGTTGCCTAGAGCAAATTTTCTTATCTTTCCTTTTTCTTAGCAAATCCCAGATTTGAAGATAAATTGTACAGCCTCCTAGAATTCCTAGGCACTTGCTTGAGCTTCAGTTCTTTTACTGAACTGTAAAAGCTAGTATGAGAAGCCACATGATAAAGGTCTTAACAGAAACAGTGAAATGCCCCTAAGATGTGACATTTCAATAAATGTACACATGTGTTTGAAAAGTATTTTGCTTAGTGATGGGGTCGTATCTTGAGTCTTTCCAGGAACATCATGAAAATGTTCCTGGGCCAGCAAATGAACTGAATACTGTTTCTAAATGACTTTGATGAGAAACTAAATCAGTTTGCCTTCCTCCTTGCCTTGCCACTCTTCAGCACTTCAAAGAGTGAAGTTTCTGGAGATTGGGAGAGTACTACAGTATTGTCAGGATGCTGGGGTTGGAGAAGAGAAAATTACAGCCTTCTCTCTTACCAGCTGATGGTGAAGGAGACAGAGCGTCTGCTTTACCCGTGTGTTAGGACAGTGTAGACAAGAGGACTGTTCTGCTTCATAGTCCCAGAGCACCAAAACACTTAGGTGGGGATGGGCTGGGTTTGGCCTTGAGTGGGATGTCCGGGATAATCTAGGGAGGCTTGAGGGAAGAAAATAGAAAGGGAGCTCTCCAAGTTATTTAACACGACTCTAGTTATTGGTGCCAGTGATTCAAGTTTCTAAAAAGTTTTCAAGTATAATACTATGAAAGAACTGATTATAAAGAAGGGGAGGTGACAAGAAGGAAAAAATATATATTCAAACTTTTTTTTTTTAAAACAACTTGGTTTATCTGAAATCAAATAAAACTATTTAGTGCTCAAGATACTGCTGGTACTTTGTGTGAAATCCATAATTCTAAGAAAAGAAGTACTATAACTACATATATTTGTTCTTACAATATAGTTGTGTTCTGCAGGGAACATAGTTACTTAATGGCGGACCTGGTTGGCATTGTGGCTCCCCAGGAGATGGATGTGTCTAGTGAAGCTAGATTTCCCTTCAGTGCTGCTGCCTTCCACAGAGGCGCTAATTTTAACCCATGTGTGTCAGGTTACTCCAGTCTAGCCTTGCAAGCAATCTGGCACTTCGAAAGTTAGTGTCTTAACGTATTTCAACTGTCTGGGTCCCGAAAAGTTAGGGTAAATTAAAACCTGAATATAAACTGGCTCCCCGTTGTTGGAGTTGGTATTGGAAGGAAGGATAGAGATTCAGAAAAATTACAATTTGACTTGCCTTTCACTTGTGTATAAACAATTACCTGGAGATTTCTAAGGACAGGAATTCCTCGTATTTTATGATGGCACTGATTTTGATAAGAACATCTCTCAGTAAACTGATAGCCTGGCTCTCTCAACCCTTCATTGACCTCCTGTTTTTGTTTTCAAATGAACAACGTGTCAAGTGGGCGTTCTTACCCTACCACCCATTGTGCCCCAGAGACGTGGGAAGTTGCGGTTTGGTTTGCTTAGAGTCTCTCGAAATGCTGTTCATCAAAGGAACATGGGTCTGATGTAACTTGTACGTTTTGGCCAACAGCCTGTGACTGTAATGGCCGATCACAGGAGTGCTACTTTGACCCTGAACTTTACCGGTCCACCGGCCACGGGGGCCACTGTACCAACTGCCAGGGGAACACAGATGGCGCCAACTGCGAGAGATGCCGGGAGAATTTCTTCCGCCTTGGGAACAACGAAGCCTGCTCTCCCTGTCACTGCAGTCCCGTGGGTAAGTGACAGGCAATGCCAGCATCAGCCTGGTGGGTTGAAAGACAAGTACTCCCCCCCCCCCCGCTCCCCAGAAAACAAAGCTCTGCTTCCTAGGCCTGAACTCATGGAGTTCAGTTCCTCTGCTCAGGGGAAGAGTGGAAGTGTGTGCACTGTCCTCCTGACCAATGACTCAGGAGCTGCCCGACCCCCCACCTCCACTCTGTTTAACCAAGTTAAACTTTCAAATGATTTTCTGGTGTGTATAAGTAAGTGTGGGCTTGGCCTATGTAATGGTTCTGTGTAGATAATTAGTAGCCCGATCCTAGAGACCATTTGAACTTTGACTGGGAAAGGTTAGCTGCTTCATGAGTTCTTGCACGTTAATGATTTTGTTTAGCTTACGATCCTTGAAGGGCTGAACTTTCTCAGTATGTTGGTGTGCATTCAGAGATATAAAGTGCTCTGAGTTTGCTCTCCTCTTTCAGGAGTTTGACCTTTATTTTGTTGTGCCTGTAGATACTTAAATTCTAGACATGGGCCTTCAGGAGCCTGTGCTTGCCCACAGAGAAGTGACTGGTTTTGTGTATGGTTGATCACTGGGTGCAGAGTGACTTGTTTTTCAACATTGATGAGCAGGGTGTGTGTCCGGAAAGTTAAAATGTTATGGCTCAAAAGGATATGATTTTGAGACAATTCAGATTTAAAATTGATCTTTCTTCTCTCTGTAACATCTAGAGATTACATCTTGGGTTTCAGGCATTGTTTTTAGTGACCCATTTTTTTTTTCTTTGACATATTTACTGACATTTCTGGTTGTTGACAAGCTCTTTAAATTTTAGGTTCTCTCAGCACACAGTGTGATAGCTATGGCAGGTGTAGTTGCAAGCCAGGAGTGATGGGTGACAAGTGTGACCGTTGCCAGCCCGGGTATCATTCTCTCACTGAGGCAGGATGCAGGTAAGACTTTTCAAAACCAGAGAAAGGGGGCAGAATCTAACTGTAGTTGATCCAGAATAAGAGATATCGTGGCTCGTCTGCAGCAGTATAAACATTTTTCCCCATAGTAATTGTCAAGAACTTCTAGCTGTGGGCGCCTGGGTGGCTCAGTTGGTTAAGCGGCTGCCTTCGGCTCAGGTCATGATCCTGGAGTCCCGGGATCAAGTCCCGCATCAGGCTCCCTGCTCAGCAGGGAGTCTGCTTCTTCCTCTGACCCTCTTCCCTCTCGTGCTCTCTGTGTCTCATTCTCTCTGTCAAAAAAAAAAAAAAAAAATTAAAAAAAAAAAAGAACTTCTAGCTGTAATGATGGTCCAGGACTGGTTTGTAACAGGGATGAAGCAGGGTTTTTAGTATTGAAATGTGAGAGGCATATCCTTGATTGAAACCAAATCCAGATACAAAACTGACTTCAGGACTCCTTTTGCTTTTTTATTTATTCTTTTTTTTTTAATGTATTAACATGTAAAACAAAAGGTTGACTTTAAGAGTGGAATTTCTTTCTCATTTCTCTGTTTTACTCCTTTTTCCATCCAACAGGCCATGCTCTTGTATTCCTTCTGGCAGCGTAGACGAGTGCAACATTGAAACGGGAAGATGTGTTTGCAAAGACAATGTTGAAGGCTTCAGTTGTGAGAGGTAGCTCATTCTTTCTCTGGCTGTGCTGTGTTTTTTCTGGTCTCATATTTCAAGTCCAAGAAATTCACTTATATCTTAGTCACTTATATCAAGTCACTTAAATCACTTATATCTTTATGTTTTTCAGATGCAAACCTGGATTTTTTAATTTGGAATCATCTAATCCTAGGGGTTGCACACCCTGCTTCTGCTTCGGGCATTCTTCTGTCTGTACAAATGCTGTCGGCTACAGTGTTTATCCTATAACCTCTACCTTTCAGATCGGTAATTTGGACCTTCCCTTCGGTCTCCCAGAATTACAAGACTGGACTTACAGTATTTTTAAAAAAATGAGTAACTTTTTGAGGATTTTTTGATGGTGGCAACATTTTGTTTTTAAATGTATAAGTTTTTTTTTGTTTGGCTCTTTGTTTGGCTTTTTATTTATTTATTTATTTAAGATTTAGTTTATTTATTTGAGAGAGAGGGAGTAGAGACAGAGAGTGAGAGGGAGAAGCAGACCCCCTGTCAAGCAGAGAGCCCGATGCCGGGCTTGATCCCAGGACCCTGAGATCATGACCTGAGCCGAAGGCAGACACTTACCCGACTCAGCCACCCAGGCACCCCTGTTTGACTTTTTAATTTAATGAAAACATACATCTTTAGAATTTACTGTAGTATAAATTTATGTGAAATCAAAATATAGCTTGAGGGATACAGCATATACAGGTACTGTCCTAGGATCCATGTCTTCAGAAATGAAGGTGAAGTAGTAAAATAAAGCTTTACTGGTGACTTCCTGTATATTTTCGTGGTGTATAGAGGACCTGAATTCAGGATGTTCACAGCGTGATGGCCCTTGTGTTCTCATCCTGTTCTTGCAGATGAAGATGGGTGGCGGGTGGAACAAAGGGACGGCTCTGAAGCGTCACTCGAGTGGTCCTCTGAGAGGCAGGATATCACCGTCCTCTCGGATAGCTACTTTCCTCGGTACTTCATTGCTCCGGGTGAGTAAGGCTGGGCAGCAGTCTGCCGTGATGAGTGCTCCTGTTTACGCTCCTTCTCACGCTCTTGCACATTACTGTGTCTGCTTTTCAGCGAAGTTCTTGGGCAAGCAGGTGTTGAGTTATGGTCAGAACCTCTCCTTCTCCTTTCGGGTGGACAGGCGAGACACTCGCCTCTCTGCAGAAGACCTGGTGCTCGAGGGAGCTGGCCTGAGAGTGTCTGTGCCCTTGATCGCTCAGGGCAATTCCTATCCGAGTGAGACCACTGTGAAATACGTCTTCAGGTAAGACGGTCTTCTTTGTGAAATCTGAGTTGACCAGAGTTATAAAAGTGGTTTCTTTACCTAAGCTTATCAGGCCTCAAGCTGTTGAAGAAAAACGTCTGGGTTATAAAGGTGACTTTGACAAAGGAAGCCTTCCCTTTATTTACTGTACCCTTTCCAGTTGTACTAAAAACCAACAGATCCCTTTCTGACTTGGTTAGATTGTCAGCCATTGCCTTGTTGGCAGCATAAATGCATAAGAAATGCTTTCTCAGCACACAGAACTGTCCTGACAGAGGTTCACGTGGCCCCTTCTTTCTCCCTAGGCTCCATGAAGCAACCGATTACCCTTGGAGGCCTCCTCTTGCCCCTTTTGAATTTCAGAAGCTCCTAAACAATTTGACCTCTATCAAAATCCGTGGGACGTATAGTGAGAGAAGTAAGTTATGATATAATTCAAGAGCATTAAGATGATTAGGTAGAAGGATCCACACTAATGCAAAAGTTTATCTCTAAAGTCCCAATACTATAGCGCTGATCCTAAAGAAATGGAATGAATTGTTTCATTATATGTGAATTATGTATAAAAATAATGCATTTGTTTAACCATTTTCAAGGACCTGGAGAAAATTTGCTAAAACTAATAAATGGCGTTGTTTTATAATGACTAAGCCTAATGAGGTGACTTTATATCTAAATAGAGTCTAAGAATCTTACATGTAATTCTACTGGCTCACATGCTTAACCTTTACTTTTTATTTATTGCTATGTAATTATCAAGCCCTTTAAACTATTGGCTAAATTATGAAAAATTATAAATTCCTGAGTGAAGGTTCATTATAATGTTAGATAAACAAAGCTGTTTTCAGTATGCCTTTAAAATTATTTTCATATATATATATATATATATTTTTTTTTTTGTAACAAGGACTTTTTCCTGTAGAAAGCTCAAGCTGTTTGGGTGGAGTCAGAGGGGTGGTGTGGCATTGTGTGTGGCATCTGCAGCATGGATGTGTTGGTTTTTGAGATGCCTACGTGAATATCCAGATGAAAACATCTTATAAGTTGTTAGAAATAATGGTCTGGGGCTTAGGAGTAAGTTAGTACTGGAGATCTAGAATCAAAAGGTTGACTACCTATGGGCAATAATTTTTAAACTTGGAAATAAGACAAAAAATATAGAAAGAAAAAGTGTAACCCCAGAAACATAGTTATCTAAGGGCCGTGCGTTGAGACTCAAGGGAGAAAAAAGAATTTTAAGGAGGAGAAATTATTAAAGGGTTTATAAAGATGATGCCATTGGATTTTGGATTGGGGGACTAAGGAATCATTGGTGATTTTTTTTTTTAAGAAGTGTTAAAACTGAAGTTATGCTACAGTGCTTTGACAAGTAATTTGAAGGTGAAGTAGTAAAATAAAGCTTACTCTTTTAAGAAGTTTGGCTGTAAGAAGAAAAGAGGTGGATTATAATTCAAGAGTAGGGACAAGATTAGAAGAAGAGTACTTTTTAGAATGGGAGACTTAAGAATGGTTAGAATTGGAAGCATATTAGCCAATGGGTATATCTCATGACCTAACTGTTGACAAAATCCATAAATATATTAAAAGTAACTAAGTTCAAAGTAGTCATAGAAGAGATGTCCTTCAACCTGAGGTTGTCAATTTCTAAGAATTCTATACAAGGCGTATATATATTTCATAACATAGGAAAATAATGATGATGTAATTAAAGACTGCCACTTGGTGGAATGTACCTGCTGAGGCCATCACATGCCCTTTTGGGTTGGATGACCCATTAGTCTAAGCCAATTTATGGCTTCCTCTGCTTTTATTTTCTTCTAGAAGTAGGGAAGCATTGTGATATATGGCATACTGGCTTTGGAATAATTGCGTATTTGCCAAAGTAGCCCAGAATATTAAAACTTGGTCACCAGTTTTTCCTATTTTATGCAGGGCAAAAAAGTATAATGAGTGGTGCTTGTTGGCAGGTGTTTTCCTTGCTTTCTTACTCCTGAACTCTATAGTCAGGGACTGCTTTTGTGGCAAAAGAACGAAAACACTGCTTAATGGCTACAGACGTAAACTCGTCTTGTCGAGTTCACGCTACATTCTCGCTCTGATCTCCTCTTGCCCCACAATATTGTCCAGTGCTTTTCCTTTTTCACACGGTGATTGAGACAACTGTAAAATCCAACAGATCTGGTCGTGTGTGTGTTGAACAATGTGTTTGCTATCCCGCCTCTCCAGATACTTAGCACCAGGTACCCCATGACTGTCGTGAACGCTATTTTCTAGTTATCTCCTTCAATAGATGAGTTAAACTAATAGCTGATTGTCTCTGGAATTTTGTGTCTGATTACTCTTTAGCTTTATTAACTTTCTGTAAGCTTTTGGAAAACAACAGCTAGTTCAGTGACTCACTTATCCACACCACATGCAGGTGCTGGATATTTGGATGATGTCACCCTAACAAGTGCTCGCCCGGGGCCTGGGGTGCCTGCCACTTGGGTGGAGTCCTGCACCTGTCCTGTGGGCTATGGAGGGCAGTTCTGTGAGATGTGCCTCTCGGGTTACAGAAGAGAAACTCCGAGTCTCGGGCCATACAGCCCATGTGTGCTTTGTACCTGCAACGGACATAGCGAGACCTGTGACCCTGAGACAGGTGAGACGAGCTCCTCGGGGGGCTGCGGGACCTAAGTCCTCTCCAGCGGATGAGCAGGGAAGTGCTCCTGGTCTTACCGGCTGGCTCACCTGCCTTTGTTCTCATACCCACTCTCCAAACAGGTGTTTGTGACTGCAGAGACAATACAGCTGGCCCCCACTGTGAGAAGTGTGGGGATGGGTTCTACGGAGATTCCACGTCGGGCACCGCCTCCGACTGTCGGCCCTGCCCGTGTCCTGGTGGCTCGAGCTGTGCCTCTGTCCCCAAGACGCAGGAGGTTGTGTGCACCAGCTGCCCTGCCGGCACCACCGGTCAGTCCACTCTTCCGTCTGCTCTCCGTGTTCCACTGGGCAAAAGTACCTCGGGACACAGAGCCTGGGGGTTTGCAGATTTTGTTTGTTTGTTTGGCTCAGTGATTATAGTTGTCCGAGCAGGCAAAAGTTTTGTATGAAACTTATTACGGATTCATAGAACACATATCAGATACAAAACATGGCCAGCATAGTTACGGCCACGTACTTTTCTAAGCACCCTCCGCCTTCTGCCTCAGTAATCCTCACAACCCCATGAGGTGGGTGCTGCTGTTTTCCCCATGTGACAGCTAAGAACACCGAGGCACGAGACATGAAGTTACTTGTCCCAGCTGCGTGGCTGGTCACTGGAGGAGCTCGTGATGACCCCCATATGCTCTCCCACCTAGGATGAGAACCAACACTTGATTTTTAGTTTGTGGGGCTATTCTGGGATTCTTGATATAAAGTGGTAATTTGTAAATTCTTTAAATTGTTTCTGTTCTTTCTTTCAGTAGTCCTTTCAGTGCATCAGAGCCCATCACGTTTAGTAAGGAAAAGATGCTTTTATAGCTTTGGATAGACATCTGTTCCCATTCTCTGAGTTTCTTTCTTTTTGTTAATAACATAAAACTAGATCTTTCCTAGCTATTCAAGGAACTGTCGTGCTGACTGAGGAGACCAAGGCTCACTGATGAGCGTTCCTCTTTTTCCGTTGACTTTAGCTTCCATGTAATGGAGAGGTTCTGGCTAGGCTTCTGATAGAACCCTTGACTCCGTTACATACTTTTTCTTCAAAAGATATTGCTGCCTGGAAATAAGTGAGACAGAAAAACCACTCAGCTAATAATGTGTATCTCTTGTACATCATCAAAACACTCTTTAATCCTTGGGAAACATCAAAATACCCCATCTTCCCTTTACTACTCCACTGACCCCACACTAAGCACAAGGTCTTTGCAACACAGAGAGATTCAATCATTTGCTTAAGGTAGTTGAGAAAATAAGGAGAAGCTAGTGTAGACTTTCAGATTTTTTTACTCTTTTCTTTGTGTATGTGTGTTTTAAAACAGTGACCCAACAGAGGTTCACAGATGGAGTTCTCTGACCTGGTTCCCCACCACCCTCTGTTGCCTTCGCTGTCTCTGCTGCAGTGTCCTGGGCTGCTTGTAATCCATCAGATCAGCCAGACTGTATGTCCTGTTATGCACAGTTTTCTTTTTTTAGAATGCTTTACCCCACCTTGTTCCACCCAAACCTCCTGTTCTTGTTCAACTCCTATCTTTACCGTGGAGTTTGGTTGAAACATCACTTACCTTGTGCTATTACCTCAGGTTTTTAGGACCCTTTTTTACTCTGCTGCCACAGCATATAGCATCCCCCTTGCAGAATCTGCTCCTAGATGTACTTAATATGACATGTGGATGAGAGACCCCTTTGGTCATTCTGTTGTTCCACTGGGTAGACTGCAAGCCTAAAACTAAGTTAAGCATTGGAGATGTTCTCATGGCTATGCTGAATAATACAAATGGGGGAGTTGAGACTACTTAGGATACGTAATGGAGAGATGGAGTGTACTGTAGGAGATCTTGCAAAATGTTGTAAACCTGTTAGTCTGTAACCAAATGTCTCTCACACAAGACTTGGGAGATATATTTTTTTGTTAGTCATCGCGTGACTTGAAGGGAATGAGCTATAGTGCTTCTTGCGGATGTTAATCAGGGTGTAGAGGTCCACATGAAAACCAGCATAGACCCTGTGAAAGATGATGCCATCACTCGTTAGTCCTATATCCTGCTTCCCTTTTTTCATAGCACGTTTTAACCACTTCATATTTTTCTATGTATTCCTTTGTTGTCTATCTTCCCCCTCCTAACCCCTGTTAAGCTCCACGACAGCAGGGACTTTTGTCTGTTCTATTGACTTTTGTATTCCTAACACCCAGAATAGCACCTGGCACGTATGCTTGTTGAATGAATGCAAATATTTTTTTGGATAACGAACAGAGATTGCAGATAGAGGGTAAGATGTTCCTCATTTAGAAGACTATTGAAGAATAGGAATAGTTACCTATAGTCCCTGAGCTCTTCACACGTGGTATGCTTCATATTTGATCTTTAAAATGATCTTTTGAGGTAATAATAGTAATAATAATGATACTCTTTTTTCATCACATTTATTTGAGTGCCTGGCTTTGGGAATGCAAAGATGAATAAGGATGGTCCCCACTCTTCCGGGGCTAAAAGTATAGAGGGAAACACAGATAATTGTAAGGCAGTGTGGTTAGTTCAGGCAAAGGAATGCACATAAGAGGAGTAGAGGAGAAGAAACAACACCTCCCCCGGGGTTGGGAAGGGATGATAAGGAAAGCTAAGGCAAAAAAAAAAAAAAAAGTACCTAACTTGCCCAAAGTCACATCCAGGACTTGGACCTACATCCTGGACTCTGAGACAAAAGGATAGGGTAGCTGTTGTTGCCAGAAGATACTTTGGTGTGAAAGCTTTCCATGAGCTCCCATGCAGCTCTGTTTTAGGTTTTCTACCAGATTTAAAAAAAAAAAAAATTATTTTATTCAAAACAGGTTTCAAGGCATTTTAAATATAGATCATATCTAGAATGGCTACATGATCTGATGAAAAGCAAAACTGACATGCTGTCCTAATCCTGGTCTGGAGAAGGATCTCGGGTGAGGGTCTGGTAACCATCAGAGACAAGAAGGGCCCGAGTAGCGTCCTGTTTCTTCCTCTCCTGGCCCGCCCCCAGCCACAGATTCTGTTCTCACCAGTGGTTTCTATTTGCCAAATGCAGGGGTCAGTTTTCAGTCCTCCTCTGACCCTGTCTCTCAGCAATGTGGGATGCTGGTGACTGCTCACTCCGCCCCAGACGATTCTCCTCTTACCTTTGGGGACACTGCCCTCTCTTGGGTCTCCTTCCTTCCCTCTTCTCTTGAGACTCCTTTTATCACTTCTGATTCTCAGCCTGAGACTTCCGTGTCAACTTTATCTGTATTCTCCCCTCAGGTGAACAAATCTCATCTAGCTTCAAAAGCCTTTCTGTGCCTACTGAAAAATCTGCGTCTGGGGCCCCGATCACGCTGTCTCCCAAGTGCCAGCTACCTACTTGCCATCTCCGCTTGGCTGGTGGGCTGGAAGCCTTCCATTTGCCCCTGCCCATCCTTTCTTCTTTTTTCTCCACCCCGATGGGACCTGTATGCACTATATCACATGGGCCCTCCATTTGTGTTCAGGCAGCGGGAAGAGGGAGGAGGGTGGGGCAGAGTATTTAGTCCAAGGCCCCTTCTCTGGGGGGGTCCTTGTGGCTTAGTGACTTTCATCAAGGTTCTCAGCTCCTGATGCTAGCTTTCCCCAAACAGCCCTTTCTCACCTGAGGTTCCAGTTAACTGCTCCCTCCCCCCAGCCCCTGAGGCCCAGGTAATAGAGCCTGACAGTCACTACCCCCGGAGCTGCGCTGTCGCCCAGGATTGCTTACACCCTGCCCACACTCGTATAGATAGTATCTTTATTAAACTCTCTTCAGGTCTTGCTAATTTGAATGTGTCTGTTTAATTTTCTGCTTGAGTCAGATGCTAAAGGCATCTCAAATTTAAGCAAATCCAAGCTAAATCTTTGATTTATTTTTCTCAACCCCAACCCTATCCTTCCCCAGTCTTGTTCATCTCAGGGAAAATACTACCATCCACCTAGTTGCTCCAGCTAGAAGCTAAAATCCTGGGCTTGTCCTTGATTCTGCTTTCTTTCATTTCCTGGAAGCAGTCAGCCAGCATGTGTGATGGACTCGATCTCACATCTGACTGCGTTTCACCGCCTCCATTTCATCACCCTGGTCCACAACCACTGCGGTCTCTCACCTAGAATAGCCTCCTAATTGGTCTCCTTGCAATCCATTCTCACACAGCAGCCAGGATAATCCTTTTAAAATGTAAATCAGGAGCACCTGGGTGGCTCAATCGGTTAAACATCTGACTTTGGTTCAGGTCATGATCTTGGGGTCCTGGGATGAAAGCCTGCGTCAAGGTTCTGTGCTCAGCAAGGAGTCTGCTTCTCCCTCTCCCTCTGCTCCCTACTCGTTCTCTTTCAAATGAAATCTTTAAAAAAATGTAAATCAGGGCATATCACTTTATTTTTTTTTAAAGATTTTATTTATTTATTTGAAAGAGAGAATGAGAGAGAGCACATGAGAGGGGGGAGGGTCAGAGGGAGAAGCAGACTCCCCGCTGAGCAGGGAGCCCGATGCGGGACTCGATCCCGGGACTCCAGGATCATGACCTGAGCCGGAGGCAGTTGCTTAACCAACTGAGTCACCAAAAACCCTCAATATCACCTCATTGCACTTTAATATAAACCAGATTTTTTACGGTGACCTACAAGATTGGCTCTTACTATTTCCATAAGCTCATTGTGTTTTTCTGTAACATTCTTCGCTTGGATATTAGCATGACTGTTTTTTTTCCGTCTTTCCATTGTCATCCCAGATATCTCCACTCTACAGAGCTTTCTCTAACCACCCAATCTGAAGTAGTCCTTACCCTGTCATTCTATCATGTTGCTCTGTTTTGTTTAATTTATTATGCTTATCCTGATCCAAAATAATCTTCTTATTTATATTGTCTGTGGATTGGTCTCCCCCAGCTATAGCGTAAGCTTCATGAGATTGGAGATCTTGTCCACCTGGTTCACTGCATCATCCTGACAACCTAGAACAGTGCCTGTGTATAAGAGATGCTCAGCAAATATTCATTAAATGAGCAAATGAACAAACCTTTATTTCTCCAGAAAGCTTAAGCTAAGTCAGTCCCTATCAGCTACAAAGATATCAAGATTCCAACTTGAGCTAATAATGATGGGAAAGTGGAAAAGGAAAGAGGAGGAGCAGTGAGTATGGTGGAAAGAGTCCCGGATTCTAGCTGTTTGATTGTGGGCAAGTTATTTAACTTCTCTGGTCCCTTCACTATAATAGAAGCTGGAGGCAAATGACAATCTCTAAGTTCTCTTCTAAGATACTCTGATTCTGTCCTAGTTGACACAGCTCAAACAAGGATTAGCACACGTCTTTTCTTTTTTAGGAAGATTGTCCTGCTTACTCTGCTGTATAGGAAACTTATGGTATTGAGTGGCACTTCATCTTTTTTAATATCATAAACCAAAACAAACATATGAATGTGCCATCCCTTGGGGCAAAAGAGGTTAATAAACCCTGAGCCTGACTCATTTACAAAGCACTTTTAACGCATGATGTCAGTTAATCCTCAGGACAATTGAAGTGCAGTAGGCACAACAGGTGTTATCTTTCTAATAACAAAATGGAAATGTGCCCAGAGTCCCTGCGTTGATCTGGCACAGAGCCAGGACTGCAGCCCAGGTCCTCTGCTCTCCTGGGCTGGTGCCCTATCCACTGTGACATGTGGCCTCACATCTGATGGTTCACCTGGACTCTTTGTAACCAGACTGTTTGTGTCCAACAGCACCAGGAATGTCTGAGGTCTTTCTTTCCTAACATCAGATTGTCCCACGTGCAGGTAAAAGGTGTGAGCTCTGTGATGATGGCTACTTTGGAGACCCTCTGGGTAGACACGGCCCTGTGAGGCTTTGCCGCCTTTGTCAATGCAATGACAACATCGACCCCAATGCGGTTGGAAATTGTAATCGCTTGACAGGAGAATGCCTGAAATGCATCTATAACACTGCTGGCTTTTACTGTGACCGATGCAAAGATGGATTTTTTGGAAATCCCCTGGCTCCCAATCCAGCAGACAAATGCAAAGGTAATCTAGCCATCGGCCAGGTTCTGCCACTGTTGTGCTCATTTATTCTGAAAATTCATCGTGTGGTCTCTTTAAATATTTACAGACGTTTGGTCTAATACAGCACTATTCAATAGAAATGTAGTGTGAACCACTCATGTAAGTTAAGTTTTCTTGTAGACACATGAAAATAAAGAGAAAGAGGTGAAATTGATTTTAATCATATATTTTATTAACCCTAATATATCTCGAGACCAGCCACTTCACCTAAAGTCTGGAGAATCTCTTTGTATTGTTTACATTTTCATATTTCTCTCGGGTGATTCGCATCTCTTGCTGTCTCCATCTCCCCACCCTAGCCTGTGCGTGCAATCCCCACGGCACCTCAAAGCAGCAGAACAGCTGTAACCCTGTGACCGGGCAGTGCGAATGTCTGCCCCACGTGACCGGCCGGGACTGTGGAGCCTGTGAGCCTGGATTCTACAACCTGCAGAGCGGGCGGGGCTGTGAGAGGTGAGGCGCCAGGCACCATTGCTGGAAGCACTCTGTGCTTGCCTTTTTTTTTTTTAATTGTGAGAGATGGATTTTTATGACTTACCCGTAACGGTAGCCTTGATTTTGTTTAGGAATTATTTCAGTGCCTCACTCGAACAGAGCATGCTTAGGGGCAGTACCGGACAGTGGTACTGAGGCTACTGGGAGAGGCGAGTAGAACGAAGCTGCCCTGGCTGCGTCAGTCGCCCGAGCAACCTTTCAAACACGACATCTCGTGAGGTGCTTTCTGAGGCTCCCAGAGTCAGACCCTCTGGGGCTCGCAGCCTGGGAATTTCTATTTTCAAAGCTCCTGCTGGTCAGCACTGAGGAGAGCCCCTTTGTAGTGGTTTTAGGAGTGGAATTAACCGTGTTGGTGGGTGAGGTTAGAAAAAGTTTCTGAGTAGAACTCATGAAAATTACTTGAACCTTAGGCACTTAATAACCCTTAACATTTTGTTTTAATAGCCCTTTAGATTGTTTTCTCATACAAATTACAGCAGTTCTGTGCTGACCAGGGGCCGGGGGAAGGTTTGCTGAGAGTCCATTTTTCTTACCGCAGAAACATCATATGTTCACTTTCAGGTGCGACTGCCACGCATTGGGTTCCACCAATGGACAGTGTGACATCCACACTGGCCAGTGTGAGTGCCAACCTGGCGTCACGGGCCAGCACTGCGAGCGCTGTGAGGTCAACCACTTTGGGTTTGGACCCGAAGGCTGCAAACGTAAGGAGCTGGGAGCATAGAACTCTTAAGTCTTTTCCAATTCCCATTAGAACCACAGACTTTGACGGTCAGAGCTGGACCTAAGTCCTCACAGATGCTTCAGTCAGTTAATATTCTCCTTTTCTAAAACTGGGGGAGAGCTTCTCTAGTTCCTTTGCAGCCACCTTATTTACATCTTCTTGGATTGTATTTCTGCTTCTTTTTCCAGTCTCTTGTCTTTCTAAGGAATGTCTCCCTTTGATTACCGGGCTTTCCCCCTGTGCTTAATGAAACATTTTTATTGATCACATTCTTAGAGCAGATAATGAGACAGTGAGAGACTCTGTTCACAACTTACTTGGTGGTTGACTTACCGGCTGCAGTCGCTTCCCACCCTTGGGGCCCTTTTGATACGGTTACATCTACACATCTGCTTCTCCTTGGCATAAACACTTGCTGGAATTAGGCCTCAGAACAGTTTGGTGTTTTGCTTTTTGAATTCCTTCATTTCTCCTGTGGAATGTAGCATAAATCATTGACCCAGTTCAGAGAACAAAGCAAGTAAACAAACTATAAAATAATGCAAAATATGTATTAGCATTTGGGTTTTCTAGTTCCTTAGTGAAAGAAATATTAAACAGCAGAGAGTTGAAGGTAGAGTTCTTGAAGTGCATAAAAGGGCATTGATTAGTTTAATAGACTAATTTCTATAATTACTAAGTAACATGAAATGTGTCCCCTCAGAGATGATGCACATTGTACTTTATTAAAACTCACTTTTGCCTAACATAATGTAATAAAATAAAATTAATAATAACAATAATAAAAGAAGAAAATTAGTGGCAGACCAACATCAGAAGAGGAGGAGAACTGACATTAAACCTGAGATAAAAGTACAGAACTGAATTCTCATTAGTGGAATAATAAAATGTTTTCCTTATAATGCAAAAGTATTTCAAACTTCACTACATTGCTTATAGAAATATTTGTCATATACTGAATGTGATTCTAATCTTCACTGAAGATCTTTTAAAATTAAAGTTTTTTAAAATGTAAAAAAAAATCACTTTTGCTTTAAAAATTTTTGTTTACTGAGCAGACTTAACCATTCGAATTCTCATAATTTGGCCTGTTTTTCAAAAAAATATCTATGTATAATGAGAGTACCATCAGCTTATTGTTACCAGTCTGGGTTAAAAGGCAATGCAATCTTCCTTCCTTTCTCTATCATAGACTCTTCTTACTTTATTCTGCAGCCTGTGACTGTCATCCTGAGGGATCTCTTTCACTCCAGTGCAAAGATGATGGTCGCTGTGAATGTAAACAGGGTTTTGTGGGAAATCGCTGTGACCAGTGTGAAGAGAACTATTTCTATAATCGGTCTTGGCCTGGCTGCCAGGAGTGTCCAGCATGTTACCGGCTGGTGAAGGATAAGGTAAGCTGTCAACAGGGCATTCGCTCATTCATTCATTTATTCATCCAGTAGACATTGAATGGGTACTTCCTGTGCACTGAGCTCTAGAGAACAAATAATGAACACGATAGGCATGGCCCTGTCCTCAAAGACTTATGTTCCAGTTGGGAGACAAATAATAAAAATTAAATAAAGACATACTAACTGAGATGAGCACCAGAAAGAATACAAACAGAGAATAACTGGGAGAACTACTTTATGTAAATCCTCTCTAAGGACATTTATTTAAGGTGAGATCTTAAGAATAAGAGGGAACAAGCCTAATGAGAACTGATGGGTAGGCTATTCCAGGCAAAGGGAATGTAGGGTACAAAGGTCTCAAAGGTGGATCGTGTCTGGAGCCTCCTGACTGAGGAGGGAGTGGTTTGTGATAAGACCGGAGAGGTTGGTAGAGACAGCTCATGTCATACCATGTCAACCATAGTAAGGGATTTAGATTTTACTCCAAATCTAGCATGAACGCACTGACGAGTTTTCAGCTAGGAAATCCAGTTTATATTTTAAGAAGAACACTCTGACTGCTATGTGAAGAATGATGGTTAGGAATGGGGCAAAAGGGCAAGCCTGGATTGAATTGGGTAAGTATGTGTGATTGGGGGGGGCAAGCATAGAGAAAGAGAATCACTAAGGGTGCCTCTTGGGTTTTTTGCTTAAGGTAGCTGGAGGCATTGTTTATTGAAATGGAGATGACTCAGGGGAAACAGATTTAAGAGAAGAAAAGAGTATAGTCTTGGGTGTTGAGTTGAGATTCCCATCAGAGAGCTGAGTGGAGATATCAGGAAAGCAATCTAAAATGCAAGGGAGAGGTCAGAACTAGAGAATCCTCAACAAGTAGTGTTTAATGTCAAAGGAATGGGCTTGATAGTTTTTCTGTTGAAGCCAGAGAAATAAAGAAAAACTACCTGTGTTATCTGTTTAAAAGTAGATATATGTGGAGTATGTAGACCTACATATTTATAGAGTGAGCACCCTTTTGATGATCATTCCTGCAGGGAGTACAGCTGAGTTCTTCAGGAATGTTTATATGTGCTAACTTTCCCTTTTCTTCCTTCATTATATCCAGGTTGCTGATCATCGAGTGAAACTCCAGGAATTAGAGAATCTCATAGCAAACCTTGGAACTGGAGAAGAGGTGGTGACAGATCAAGCCTTTGAGGACAGACTGAAGGAAGCGGAGAGAGAAGTTATGGACCTCCTTCGAGAGGCCCAGGATGTCAAAGGTAAACATGTTAAAACAATGGGTAACTTCTGCCAGATGGCTCAGTCTTTAGACATGGCTCCTAGTTCAAGGTTATTTAGTATGGCTTTATAAAATTCTTCCTCAATTTTTTAAACTATTTGTAGAATCTGAATTTTTTTAAACAATGTGTGAAAATACAAGAACTTGTTTTAAGATACAGTAAGCAAAAATAATTCTCCCAACACATCAGAAACTATTAAATGCTAAAATTCCAAGTGTTGTATAAATCTGTTCCATTACAAAGTGTTTTAAAACAGTTTTTAAAAATAATGAAAGGTATGCATTTTGGGTGTGCATTATTTTAAGTTGAAAATTTGAACTTGGATTCTTCTGTCAGTCTACTGAGTGAGAATTTATTTTACGCACTGCTTTATTTCCTTAGAAAGGACCCTCATAAGGAAAAATTGTAGTCTTCAAGTATTGACCAAACAGCTAGATACTAAATATATAACACCTGATATTTATGAAAGATTAGAAATTAGTGCCTGCTTATGAAATTTTCTGCTTAATAGGTGAACAAATGTGCTAATAACATCATGTAAAAGCATATATTTTATATTATATGCATATTTAATGTTCTTTGCAATTGTGTTGCTCCTCTGTACATTATCCAATGAGACTGATGATAATAAGCAGAGGAATTGGCTTAAGATTTAGGAAACAGTTTATTTTAAAATACTTTAAAGGAACCTGAATTTGTGAAACTTTGAAAGTAAGAAAAAGTTATTTTACATTATTTACGTGCTTTTTAAATCACTTTTTAAAAAAGATTATTTATTTGAGAGAGAGCAAGCAAGAGCAAGCTAGCAGGGGGAAGGACAGAGGGAGAGAGAGAGAATCTCCAGCAGACTCCGTGCTGAGTGTGGAGCCTGACATGGGGCTCAATCTCACAATCCTCAGGTCATGACTTGAGCCAAAATTGAGTTGGACGCTCAACCAATGGAGCCACCCAGGCACCCCTTAAATCACTTTAACATTTTATTTTTATTACTTACTCTGAATTAAGCTTTTTTTTCTAAATTTGGACAAATCCTTTTCTACACTGACTGAGGGCCTATAGTATACCAGGCATTGTGCTAAACACCAATAATGAGAAGATAAATAAGACTGTCCTCCTTCTATCGAAGTACTCACGACCTGGCTGAGGTCACTTTTGTTTAGGGGCTTTCCACTCATAGTAAATGTTCATTAACATTAGGACACCTGGGACCACAATGATTGACCTCTTTATTGAGTTTATGAATCTACCCATTTGGAGTTAGGTCTTCCTGTCAGAGTATAGGTCAACAGAAATTAAGTATATTACTTATTTCTTACTGTAGATATCCCTAATATATATAATTTTGATTTTATAAAATTACTAAGTAAAGAAGGAAGTAATGAGATGCATCTGGTTTTGGCCAGTTTAATTTTTATATGAGCGTCAGAAATTGTTTTATAAGGTAAATTTTTAGAAATTGAAAAATAAAATGAGGGGTCAGTAGTTTATATTAACTTTAGTTGTGTGTTTGTCTTTTGTGTTGTTGTTACATTTTAAGTATTAAACACAGAATAAGAAGAATTTAAATGTTTCCTGTTCTGTGTAAACACTAGTGTTTTTTTTAGGATGTTCAATTGTTGGCAAAACCTTTTGACACACAGTTTTCCACTAATGTATTCTCTTATAACAACAAATTCACATCTGTCCTGCCATATACACTGAAGAATCAAATGTGGGGTTATCTTTAAGTGCTGCTCAGTCCACCTGAGAGCTGGGGTCTGGCACGTAGCTCTGGTGCCCACACCATGAGCACATGGGAATAGTCAAGAGGCCAGAAAGGGAAGTCAGCCAGCACTGTTCCTCATTTTGGTGCAGCCCCAGCTACGTCTAGCTTCCTTTGGCCCATAATGACCACCTACTTTCCTCTACCCAAGCTGGTGATTCCATCGGACAGAAGCTTTGACAAAAACCATGGATGTCAATACCTCCCCCTTGAGCCACTTGAAAGGTGGGAACATAATGGGCTGCAGCTTCTCATAGCTCGGGGAGCACCATAGTGAGGCTAGGGTTAAAGTCTACTCCCACTAAGACTTGATTCATGGAGTTCCTGGCTGACCTTTCTTACTTGGGTTCAAACTAGCCAAGAATAAGAATATCTCCACAATGATTTATCCTTTCAAACTATCCCTGAGTATTTATTTGTAGTTTAAACTTGTGTTTATTCTGCAGCTTTAAAAGGAGATTATATGGTGCAATTAGGTTTTGCAATTTGAAGGCATTTGAAGTGATCCTACCAGTTAGATTATCTATTCTCTTTTCAGTTACTGATGTTTCTCTAAAGAGCTGGCTGGAGAGATTGGTATCTGTTACATTCCTGACGGTCTAAAGGAAAGGGGTTTTCATAACTTCAGTGGCTGCTTATGCTTCTTGGGTCTAAATGAGTTTCTACAGTTTCAACTTTTTTTTGGTCTTCTGTTATTTTCTTAAAAATCTTTAGATTATCAAAGAATTGTCTAATCATTCAAGCAGGGCCACTGTGTATAGTTAGGCGAGTTTCTCACTGCACCAACTTTGCATGTGTATTTGATGGCCCTGCTTACAAGATGCTATTTTCCAAACTTACATTCATCTTTATTGATCTCTAACTTTGACCTCTCATCTTTTTCACATTCCTTGGAAAATTTAAACGCCAACTCTGAGCATTTTGCTGAAATAAGAACTGATTGATTTTGGATAGGACTTAATGGTTCTTGTATGTTAATATACTCTCATGACCTATGAGAATTTTAATAATGACAGAATTATATTTACACAGGTGTATATTTATCTTTTTATTTATTTATTAAGACCCAGGTATGAGATTTAAGTTGAATGGGCATAATCAATAAAGAACAATTTGCAGAACTATTCAAAAGCAGAACTCAGTATGAAAGAAATTACCTGGCTCTGCCAGGGGGTAGGGGTGGGGGGCAGCAAGGGTTTGTGTTTAGTCTTGTATTTAGTTTAAAATACAAAATGAATTTAATTTTCTGTACTTCAACATCTGTTTTGAACCTAGATTTTTTCCTAGTTTAGAAAAATGTCCAGCTGTCAGGGCTGATAGTTCTTTCAATAACATTGTATTTTTATGATTAAATCTGGCATGTGCTGGAACATCAAAGCTTTCCTTCCTCAGACATTTCTTGGGTGTCTCCTCTTTGCCAGTCACTGTGTAAGACTGGGGATATAGGGTTGAGTAAGAAAGAGAAGCTGGTAGTCCAGTGGGACAGACAGGCACACAATTGGAGACAGTCTGATAAATATAACAGGGGAGGTACTACTGGGCACAGTAAGGACTGACCAGTTCTGCTGATGGGCTTAGGGAAAGCTTATCAGAAAGATCTGTGTTTGGAAGAATAAAGTTGTGCCTCGGATTTCATGTGCGGTATGTACCCCCCCTTCAGATAATTTATGGACTTTCTTCTGCAATGCCATTGCAGATATAGACCAGAATTTGATGGACCGCCTCCAGAGAGTGAATAACACCTTATCCAGCCAAATTAGCCGTTTACAGAATATCCGCAATACCATTGAAGAGACTGGAAACTTGGCTGAGCAAGCACGTGCCAGGGTAGAGAGCACAGAGCAGTTGATTGAAATTGCGACCCGAGAACTTGAGAAAGCAAAGATTGCTGTTGCCAACGTGGTGAGTGATTGGGAAGGTGTGAGGTTGGGGTGCAGGAGTCCCCTGGTACTTTGTAGCAAGTCTCTTACTGTCCACAGAATGCTTCAGCTAAATTGACTCTTTGTGTCTTTTTGTCTCTAAACATGGAGCAAGAAAGCCAGGTTGCTCAAAGTTGCCATTAAATAGTTATCACAAATTGGATAACAACCAAAGGACATCTGGGTCCTTTCTCTAGCTTTGTTCCTTCTATGGCACTAGTCAGTTTAAACTTCCTTTATCCTTTGATGAAAATAGAAATAGTAATCTGTAGCCAAGGATGCTAAATATTAGTGAAGGATCTTTGAATCAAGGAGACATTCTTTTTGCTAAATAACACTAATACAAATTTGGTTTTGACACTTGTATTAAATTTAAATAATTCAGTCCTCTGAGATTAGTGCTCTTTTTATTTCCTCTTCAGTCAATCACTCAGCCAGAGTCTACAGGGGACCCAAACAACATGACTCTTTTGGCAGAAGAGGCACGAAAGCTTGCTGAACGGTAACCTCCAGATCCCTGTGTCTTAATGGTTAAGCTATAACTTTCCTTACATGTGTACATGTTGTCCCCTCCTTTACCCACAAACGCTTCGCATATAACCTACTTTTGTAAAGTTGGCTTTTTTCTGAAATGTTATTGGCTGTGTTTACTCTTTTCCTGTCTCTCCTTTGAAATCAGAATATTTACTTTGAATATTTGAACATGATGCTTTGGAGGGAAATTATATTTGCACATCTCAAAACCATAAAAACCTTAAAGTTGATAACTAAGAAGCTCGTTGAATTTAGTTATATTTTTAATTTTTAAAATTAATTTTTAACAAAAATGTTTAGCGCTCAGATTTTAATAGAAAACGTTTACAAACCCATAATACCTTTGAAAATCAGCCCAAGAAAACAGACCATTTCATTCCTCATTTTTTTTTTGAGATTTTTTTTTTTTTTTTTAAGATTTTATTTATTTGACAGAGAGAGACACAGTGAGAGAGGGAACACAAGAAGGGGGAGTGGGAGAGGGAGAAGCAGGCTTCCCGCTGAGCAGGGAGCCCAATGTGGGGCTCGATCCCAGGACCCCAGGATCATGACCTGAGCCGAAGGCAGACACTCAACGACTGAGCCACCCAGGCGCCCCTTTTTTTGAGATTTTTAAAATTATTAAGTATAAGGCAGTTTCTTAGGAAAAACTTTAAGTTGTAAGAGAGCATTAAATTGAAAAAATTTGTTAAAGTAGTTGCTAGAATGTAGGCTTCACGAAGGCAGGTATTTTTGTGTGTTTCATTCACTACTAAAGTTCTAATACCTCAAACAATGTCTGGGATATAGTAAGTACTCAATAAATGTTTGTTGAATGAATTGCAGAACGGAGCTAGTAGACCTCATGGGTGTGGGATTCTTAAGTAAGCCCAACCTTAAACTTTTAGTCTCATTGTTCAGAACAATTACTTTGGCTTCTTGCTTTAACATGTGCTCTCTTTCTATTTTTTGCAAATGGAAATGGGTGAGTTGTATCATTTAGTTCATGGAACATTCATGGTTTCATAGCTGGATTTTCTGATGAAAAGAAGATAGCTGAAAACACACAGAAAACTCCTAAGGAAATTAGATCTTGAAAATAAAGTAATTCTGGTGTCTTTCATACAGGAATTTTGAAAGAAACCTTTATTGTAACGAAAACGAACGGGCACACACTACAGTGTGACACTGTAATATGAAATTTTAGAGCTGAAAAAACCTTAGCAGTTCCTCAGCTGAAATTTGCATTATTTGGCTGGATTCCCTGTTGACATGTTGCTTTCCATTTGGTGTCAGGCTGCTTTTCCTGTCAGTAATTAGGTTATATGTGAGAAGTCTGAATAGTTGGAGGCTGTTTCAAGACTATGTAGTAACTGAACCAGAGTGAAGATTAAACATTAGGTCTGGGGTTCGTGTTTATGTCTAGACGAGTTCTTGCTAGCATACATGGTCTTATAGATAAATTATTCTTAAATGATTTTATTTAGAAGTAATTTTTTTAAGAAATATAGACATTTGCCCCTATAAACTTTATAGGAAAATGTCATCTGGAAAATACCATTTTTTTCAGATTGTAGAATGCTATTGTAAACTTAGCCCCACTGAAATGTTTGCAAAATTCCAAATTTATAAGAGTTTTTCAATATTTATAGAGCTCTGTCCATGTTAGTATATGTATATAAAATAAGGTAAGCATTACCTAAATTCTGCCTCTTTCCCTATTAAATAGTTCTGTTTCATGGTTTATTTTTTCTTTTACATTATACAGCCATAAACAAGAAGCTGATGATATCGTAAGAGTGGCAATGACAGCTAATGATACATCAACCGAGGCATATAATCTGCTTCTGAGAACACTGGCAGGAGAGAACCAAACAGCACTTGAGATTGAAGAGCTTAATAGAAAGTGAGTGTCATTTAAAAGTGGCTTATGGCCCTTCAGTTTTTCTTGTAAGTAGCACCGGTTCAATGAAAAATTATATGCTGTTGGATTCAGAGCATGCATTCATGCAGTAAGATTTCTTTTGTTAATCATGCTTTTGAAATGGTGTAGTAATTAGAGCAGGGGCTGGAGAGCCGCAGAGGTTTTATTCATTCCAGTTCCTGTAACTACACACAAAGGTAACAAGACTAGCCGTGATACTTAAATTTCTGCATAAATGAAAAAAGTATCATAGAGTCAGTAGAGAAAATATACTTGAGGTACACATATTTAAAAGGCGTCCAAAATAAATATGCGGTAATCATATGGTATAAATAGAAGTGACGAGATGAAATCTAAATTTAAGTTGTGTTGGTATTAAATAATAGCATTTTCTTTGAAGTTTTAGGGAATTCTGTTGCAGTGATTTGAACCAGAATGAATGTGGTTAACATGAAGATGCCCAAAGCAACCAAGTTTTTCGTTAAATCTTTTGTTCCTTAGGTATGAACAAGCGAAGAACATGTCACAGGATCTGGAGAAGCAAGCTGCCCGAGTACACGAGGAGGCCAAAAGGGCTGGAGATAAAGCGGTGGAGATCTATGCTAGTGTTGCCCAGCTGACGCCCGTGGACTCGGAAGCTCTGGAGGTATGGGTTGGACAGCCTGTGTGCACAGGGTGTTGGCGGTCACTGCCGTCACCCATCCATAGCACGCAGCCTCGCCCCTCGGACGTGCACACACACATAGTATGCACCCTCGCCCTTCAGACGCATACACGTGTGCACACGCACACACACACATCCCTCACAGTCAGGGTAAGAGCTATTCTGACTTGCCCTGCAACTATCACTGGTACCGACCTCCTCTGTCCTCCAACTGACTCACTGGTAATGTCGAGTTCTGCTTCAGATATGTTCACTTAGTGAGGTCAAGAATCCTGTGATTATAAAGATTAAACAGCAAAGACTACTTTAGTGATAGGAATAATCACTCCGAAGTCTTTACTATAAATCGAAATTATTACATATTTGTATTTATTAGAGCAGAGTACATCCAGACCATTACGCCCAGGCACTCTCTGGTTGAGAACAAGAGAGAAGTAAAAGAAAATGGTTTAAATGAAAGAACTATATCAGGATGCTGCTGGGCAGCTAAAATATCTGGGGTTTGGTAGGATTTTATTACATCTGTAGTCTACTCATGAATCCTCATTCCAGGCTCTGTATAAATGCTATTTCTTACATTGATATTGAAATTTATTAAGTTTCGCTTTTTACGTCTGAGGCGTTGACTTGATTTTTTTACCACCAAGGTTTAGTTCAGTCTCTTCAGACACGTACATACTGTCTGATCTTGCATATTTGAAATTTGAGAATAGGCAAAACTAATCGGTGATAAAAACTAGACCAGTGGCAGCTGCATTGCTGAAAAGGTAGGTGTGGACATTAACTGGGAAGAGACACAAGGGAATTTCCTGGGGTGGAAATATTCTGTATCTTGATTGGGGTGTTGGCTACACAGGTAAATATATTTGTCAAAGCTCATCTCACTAAGTGCTATGCATTTTACTGTGTGTAAAGGATACTTCAATTAAAAAAAAAAAGTCCATAAAATCTTGACCTGTGCTTTTCTTTTAAAAATATCTCTGAGTGTTAAGTGTTACAGAGCCTACCTTTTCATCGGTTTCATTGTTTTGTCTAAAATGTCACAACCTTATTTGCTTTTCACAGAATGAGGCAAATAAAATCAAGAAGGAAGCTGAGGATCTGGACCGTCTGATTGACCAGAAATTAAAAGATTATGAGGACCTCCGAGAGGACATGAGAGGGAAGGAACTTGAAGTCAAGAAGCTTCTGGAGAAGGGAAAGACTGAACAGCAGGTTGGTTTAATTTGCAGGTGGCTTCGTTTCTTGAGGCAAAATGTGAAACCGTGCCGCGTGACCTGTGTCCGTGACGTCACCACAAGTGCAGGGACCGCAAGCCCTCAGGAATTCAGAGGAAGGCCTTCTGTGGGGCGCCCCGGCCTAGCTGCCCCATGCTGGCAGGTGTCAAGGTGGCAGCTGGGAGCTGCCTGGCCTGTTAGGAGAAAGAAGGGATTCACCTTGGAGGGTTTGTCCTCTGATCTGCCGTGTGTTTGCAGACTGCTGACCAGCTCCTAGCCCGAGCAGATGCCGCCAAGGCTCTTGCGGAAGAAGCTGCTAAAAAGGGACGAAATACCTTACAAGAAGCCAATGACATTCTCAACAACCTGAAGGGTATGAAAGATTCACATGATAGCGTAAATTTCTATGCTTTCTTCACTGAGGTGATTTACTTTTTAATTTTTACCATGAGATTCTCGGAACATATACCATATGAAAGATAAGAGTATACCAAATCCCATAAATCTATCATCCAGATTCAACAGTTAATGATTTTTACTACACTAACTTCATCCCCCAACATCCACCCTACTTTTTTTTATACTGAGATATTTCAAAGAAAAATCTGAGAGCTTGGGTCATTTTACCCCTTCATACCTCAGTATGAAAATAAAACCAAAAACAAAAAGGAAATTTTCTGACATTAGAATAACTCATGTTATCAAGATATGCCTATTTAGCTGGCTTATGTTGTTAAATGGAGATTATTTTTCATTTTCTCTGCCAATTGCATCTCAATCCTTGTGCCTTCTGTCCTCACCCAAGAGAAAAAAGAAATGTGCTCAATTCACGGGATAGTCCTGGACTTGCCTCTGATAAAATAGCCCGTAGGTTCCATAAACATGGAAGCTTTATGAGATAATGGTTGACTATATCGGCCCTGGTGTCAGTGGGTTTGGGTTAGAATCCCTGATCCACCTCGTACTTCTGTGAACCCTTGGGGGAAATTCTCTCCCTCCACAGTCTTCAGTTCTCATGTATAAAACTGATACAATGCCTGCTTCACAGGCATATAAAAAAGCTCTGAACCCAGTAGCTAACACCTAGTAAACACTAAATAAACTGCAGTTTTTAATACTGGTTACCGTGGTAGTAATGGCGTACTCCGTGCTTTGCACAAAAATAAACTTCTTTGCAGAAACACATTCATTCATAAGACTCTAAAGCTGTCCGCTTCCTTCTTCTAAGGCCGTCCGTGCTGTTTTTCATTTTTCTCTCCCGACTTTCACTGCTCATTAAAACAAAGGCCCGTTGCCGCTCCCTGACAGGTTCCCTTTTGGCTTGCTGAGAGTCGAGCTCAAATGCACCTGCTTTATTGTAGATTTCGATAGGCGAGTGAACGATAACAAGACTGCTGCAGAGGAGGCTTTAAGGAGAATCCCTGCCATCAACCAGACCATAATAGAAGCCAATGACAAGACAAGGGAGGCGCAGCTGGCTCTGGGCAGTGCTGCCGCCGACGCCACCGAGGCCAAGAGCAAGGCCCACGAGGCGGAGAGGATCGCCAGTGCCGTCCAGAAGGTGTGTGCTCTGCTCTGCTCCCCAGCACTCTTTGCTCCTGTGTTTCTCTAGTCGTTTTCCAGTTTCTTTCCCCATCCCTAAAAGCCCTCCTAGACTTCTTCCTCAACTCGGGTAAGATTATCCTTAAGCTGTCCTTGTTCCTTTTTTACTGGGCATTTAGAGTAGGTAAGTACATTGACTGAAGAGGGCGAATCATTGAAGTCATTGAAAGGGCCCTTGAACATTTCTATTGTTGTTTTGGCGGCAGGGTCTCTGTGGTGAGGAGGGGGATGGCTTCCTGGGCCCATAGAGCACCTTGCACAAGAAAATTAGACTCTTCTCAAGTAAACACAGTTCTTTGACATGGATAGCTGATGTTTTTTCAATCTTACGTAGAGTGCCAGGTCAATACAACTCTCAGGCCCCTCTTTCGAGCATATTTTATGTCAGAGCCCTACCTTATTTAGCTGCCCCTGCTAGGATTCTTCCTACTCATCTTTTTTTTTTTTAAGATTTTATTTATTTATTGGAGAGGGAGACAGAGCATGAGCAGGGGAGGGGCAGAAGGAGAAGCGGACTCCCTGCTGAGCAGGGAGCCTGATGCAGGGCTCCATCCCAGGACCCTGAGATCATGACCTGAGCTGAAGTCAGATGCTTTAACCAACTAAGCCACCCAGGCATCCGTCCCCTTTCTACAATCATCTTAAAGAATAATTTCTTTAAGCTGGCTTTTTCCTACTTAAAAGTCAGTCTGTTTATTTTATTTAAAAGAGAGACTAGAATGGATTCTAAAAGAACGTGTTCAAGAATCACATACATTTTTTAGTTTGTTTAGAAGAGTTGGTTTTAGATTAATTCTATTTTATAAAATACTCCTACATCAGGATCGTGGGGTTTTTTTGTACATTGTTATGAAGTGCCAAATAGAACAAGGCTACTACGTTTGAATTGAAAACGTATCCAAGTCAAAGAGTCTAATCAATATGATGTGGTGGAAAGTGTACACCGTTTAAATGTTTTATCATTTGCTAGCCATGTGACCTCAACTAAAAATGGCAATGATAGAGCAGGAAGTATTAAGGATACATAAGAGGACACAAATGGAAGTATTTTATAAAATATAAAATGCTATTAGGTTAGGCAGTAATGCTAGCTTTTCTTTCCTTACTGTTATTTGGAACCCAAATAAATGATACCCTAAGTCAACGTATGGTATAATTTACTTCCCTCTTTTTTCTGGATTATATTTTCAAACCATTGTACAGATTATTAAAAATGTGGGAGCATACTTTAGAAAGAGGAAAGCTTTTTTTCACTAGCAGTTCTTTATCATGTGCCTAGAACGCTACCAGCACCAAGGCAGAAGCCGAAAGGACTTTTGCAGAAGTTACAGACCTGGATAACGAGGTGAACAATATGTTGAAACAACTACAAGAAGCAGAAAAGGAGCTGAAGAGAAAACAAGAGGATGCTGACCAGGATATGATGATGGCAGGGATGGTAAGCAGTTTTGGCCTATTTGCTTGTGGGCAGAAGGTGAAGGGTGTTTAATGATAAAGATCCCCATCTTGTTAAGAAGAGTCTCTTTCAAAAAAAAAAAAAAGAAGAGTCTCTTTCATATTGACTTCTGTTTTTCGTTGTGCTTTCTGGCCAAGAATCGGGTTAGTAACTTACATAGAAGACAAAGAATTTGGGTCTCTTGTGGGGTTGTTGCACAATTGTCCTGTCCCAAAGTTTCTCTCAGTTAAAAGCAAAACATTCTTTTACACATTGAAGTTTTAGGACATTGAAAAGTATGCATTTGTATTTTTGGATGGGTGATTCATACATGGTATAAAATAAAAAAGGAATAAAAAGGAATACGATGAAAAATTAATTTCCTTCCTACTCTTGTTATCCCAGCAACTTACTTTCTAGAGGCAAACACCAGTTTCTTGTATTTCATTTTTGAAGATGACAAAAACATACCAAACTTACATCTAATTTAATTTTTTTTTACCTTTAGTGATGATGTGTATACACAACACTGTGGGTGACAAAATTGACTTAGGAATGCATGGCCCAATAAAGAACAAGGGTGCATTTTCCTGTGGTATGCTATATTTTGCTTTCAAAAGACTTCAGTGGAGTCACAGTGGAAACATAACTTTACAGTTCAGTCTGATTACAATCACAGTAATGAACTTGTTTAATTGTGCAAGTGAGGGACCCTTTTTCCACTGCTGCTGAAAACAGGCCTTTTACCTGGCTCATTTTCACCCTGGGACAGAAAGGAGAAATAGTAACCCTGTTTACCTAAAGAAGACTCTAGGGAAGTGATAACAGGAAGCATCCCTGTGCAAACACCTTATTTTAGTACACTTTTTGACTTTTATTTCGGACTATCTCAATTTTCTATAGCAAGGTATGGCTCAGTTGGAAATTCCCATATAGCAAAAAATACGCATTTCTCATATGTGCTGAGGGTCTCTGCATTTCCTTTTTAATATAGTTGTAGAAACATTGCATTTAAAGCCTGTGGAAAGAAGGAAAAGGTTATATTCTTGATGAGCTTCAAGAAAAGGGTATGGTTTCCATTCAAAGAGTGGAAGAAGATCCATCTTTTGTTTTTTTTGGTAAATAACTTCTAACTTTGTGTTCCCAAAGCACCAGCACGCATCCCATCCCATTTGTATTTACGTCAGTCCTGAAAGACACAGCATTGAGCCGGTATTGTTTGAGTCTGTCACGTAACTTTTTTCACCAAAAGAGTAAAGGCTTATGGTTGTCCTGGAAGAGGAGGCTGGAAGCCTACAGATTACCCATGGTAGCATTGCTCTCTGTAGGCCATCACGAAGTCACTTACCCCGTCCTAGGACGTGTGCAGAAAAGCCTGTCAGCGCTGTGATTTCAATAGAGATTCATCATTTATTTGTGAAGGGTTTTTCCCTCGTGCATTTTCTTTTTTTAAAAAATCTTATTTTCTATCCAAAAATGTTACGGTGTCTTGAGCCAAACACTAGGAAAAACAGTTTTGTGGTAGGGAGCTCAAAGCTGCTTGTTTATATCCTGACTGGATTTTATTTGTGAGGGCATCTGTTTTCTGATATTCAGACGCTTCCTCTTCCATTGTCATTTCCCGTGACTCACGCACAGGGTATTTGTTCAGGTTTCATGGAATTTTCCCAAATACATTTACCTTTGGTTGATTTACAAAATGTAAACCGTATTGCCACATGTGTGTGTGTGCGTGTGCGTTTGCAGGGGGAGAGGGTGTTACAGAAGGTGTCACTTGAGTATGAAACTTTTCCGAGAATAGGACATTTCTAATAATCAAGTCTCTAAGAGTGTCCTGAAGGACATAGTTTGGTTCTAAAATGTAGTTTTATACTCGTCCTTAAAAATAACTTGTTTCTGCTCGATGAATTTGGTTACAAGTCCACTTCCATGTATTCTTGAGTGAGAAAGTGAGAAAAGGGTCTTTTTGAAATACAGATCCGGTCAGTGTAGGCATGCGGACTGCCTACTCGTGTCTGTTCTATGAATTAAAAATAGCAACATTTCACCATGAAGATACTCTGAAAGACCAAAAAAACAAAACAAAACCCCTACAGTGAGAGATTGTAATTTCACAAGTTAGGAAAGAGGAAGCATCTGAAAATTGGACTTGTTGGCTGATTGGGGGGAAAAATATTTCAAGGACATGAAAACATACTGTCAGGACTGCTGGTATCATCTGTCCTTTTCCCGGTATAGGCTTCACAGGCTGCTCAGGAAGCCGAGATCAATGCCAGAAAGGCCAAAAACTCCGTTACCAGCCTCCTGCACCTGATTAATGAGCTCCTGGAGCAGCTGGGTAAGTGGCTGTGGAGTCATTGTCGGCCGCCCGCGGATCCTTTGTGCTGCCCCTGCAGTCGACGCAAAAGCAGATAGTACAGCAGGACTGTTGTGTGAACTGAATCAGGACTCGAGGTCGTATTAACTCAGCTACGAGGTCCTTCCATGGCATATGATCTGAATCCTGGAATCTGACCACGGCCCAAGGACTTATAAAATCAGGAAGACAGGCTGCCAGTGAGGGTGGCTCACTTGTGGTCGATGCTTATGATACACTGAACAGTGATAGTATTCTGAGTTCATCCTGCTTGGCAGAGTGTCTTTAGAGGATTTAAAGTGAAGGATTTCAGTGCTAGAGTGAAAGAACACTTTAAGCTGGTGACAACTTCACTGCCTGGAATTCTTTTCATTTGCTAATTAAAAGGAGAATCTGATGAGGTGACAGTTCAAAAAGAGAATAAGCTTGATTTTTCAAGGAAATTCAAGCATGTTGAAATGCTCTTTTAATCTAGGGTGATAGGGAGCAGGCTTCGTTACAGGACAGATGTACTTTTGTCGCCAGCCTCCATTATAAAGTGGTCATACCCCAGCCCGTACGGCTTTGTGGCAAGCCATTTTGCTTTAATTTAGCCTTGAAGGTTTGTTCAGTGTTTTGTTTGGGGTGTTTTTGTTTTGTTTTGTTTTGTTTTGTTTTGGAGGGTGGGGGAGGGTATATTTTTTATCTGTCTCAAATATCAAGAATAATAAATTATGTGCTGTCAGATGGGTTTTAAAATGAAAGGAGCTAGAAGAGGTAGCTTTTTGTGGCAGAAAGGGCTGGATTTTAAAGTTAGTCAGGCTTGGGTTGGAATCTTTGTTTTGTTGCCTTGTAAACTGTGCAAACTTGGGCAAATTACTTAACATCTGAGAATCACTGGCAGAATATGGTCTTGTGAGAATTTAATCAAGTACAGTGTACATAAAGTGTTGAGCTCTGTGTGGCTGTCTGCTTTCATTAACTATGGAAGCAATTCTTTCCAGAAGAACCTCCTTTTCTTGCTAATTTTAAAGTGAAGCTTTTGCTGGAATTATTTCAGCATTTTCATCCCTGGCCATTTTCCATAGGAGGCCTCCAAATAGAGTCTTAACTCCTGAAAGCAGGACAGGACTCCCCAGAACAAACCCAGCCTCCCTGGAAGCTAAAGAGCCGAGGGCTTAGAGTTCGAGCCTGAAGATTTGTATGTTCATTAGATGGCATTAAAATGACATACAGATTACATACATAAACATGAAAATGGTATCAAACGTTACCAGATGACCTTCAAAACCGCGGGTGAGGCTTAAGGTCTCAAGCACGGCAGCTGTGTATTTAGACAACATCTCACAAAAACTGTTTCCTCAGAGAAAACATCCAGCCCAGTATCCATTATATGCTCTGACCTGTCCTCGTCGAGTTAGGTCCATGTTTATACTTGGTCTGCATTGTTCATGCCCTTGCACGACATGAACGATCTACAAGTCCCGTTTGCAGGCCACCACTGCATAGCGGCAGCTGCTGGGCTTCATTTATAAGAAAGGCTAGTGGAGGGGCGCTTGGGTGGCTCAGTCGGTGAAGCATCTGCCTTCGGCTCAGGTCATGATCCCCGGGTCCTGGGATGGAGCCCCTCATCGGGCTCCCTGCTCGGCGGGAAGCCTGCTTCTCCCTCTCCCACTCCCCCTGCTTGTGTTCCCTCTCTCGCTGTGTCTCTTTCTGTCAAATAAATAAAATCTTTTTTAAAAAGGGGGGCTAGTGGAGGTGCTTGCGGAGCAATGTGATGATTCTTACTGGGTGCATCTGTTTCCTCCTGTGTCCTTTCTGACTCTACAGGGCAGCTGGACACAGTGGACCTGAACAAGCTCAATGAGATCGAAGGCACCCTGAACAAAGCCAAAGATGAAATGAAAGTCAGTGATCTGGACAGGAAAGTGTCTGATCTGGAGAATGAAGCCAGGAAGCAGGAGGCCGCCATCATGGACTATAACAGAGATATCGAGGAGATCATGAAGGACATTCGCAACCTGGAAGACATCAAGAAGACCTTACCATCTGGCTGCTTCAACACCCCGTCCATCGAAAAGCCCTAGAGTCATCTTTTAGGGCTGGAAGGCAGCACCCCCCAACCGGGGAGCCGTTGTGAGGCCATAGAGTGCCTTAACACACAGATTACATTTTTTCAGACCCCCACTTCTCTGCTGCTCTCCACCACTGTCCTTTTGAACCAGGAAAATTCACAAAGCTTAAAGAGAAGCAAGTCAGACATCATGAATCGGGAACAAAGGGTTTTATCTGATAGTCTCTCTTCCACGGAAGGCACTCCCTTACCCACACTTTCCCTTCTGAGTCGCGTGAGGACGTGGCATCTTACGTGATCGTACAGTGGTGTAAACACTTCGTGAGAACCATTGTCTGCCGGGGCTGAGCAAGTGGCCCTCCCTTTTCTCATGGATACTGGCAGAACCTCCTCGGTCTCAGTACTCTTGTTTCATGAAGGAAAAGTTTGGCTACTAGTAGCAGCGTTGTGATGGCCAGGATATCCAGTCTGTCGATAAAGAAAGTGCACCTACATCTACCACCCCTCCTCCTTTTACGAAAAAGGAAATAAATGTCCTGTGCCAAAGATATTGGTCACTTAGAACGTCAAGAGCCATCATCAGTTGCTTTAGCTATTTTGAGTATAGGACACTGAGCCATCCACGGGTAAGGCTGCAATTATTCCTGACAGTCTCCAGGAGAATGAGGCTGCAGAAGTAGGCCGAACATTTTCTCATATGTTAATAATTGACTAGGAAGATACACTTTTTTTCAGATCTTTGGGCAGCTGATAAATCTGGATGGGCAGCTTGCAGTCACCAATAGACGTCTTCTGATATTCCTATAAATGGAATTTATACAGAAGAAATAGGGATATGATAACCACTAAAGTTTGTTTTGTTTTGTTTTCAAAATCAAACTAATTCCTAGAGCTTTTTTAGTGTGTTAGTCTTGGAACTAGTGCTGTTATCTGGTAGAGAGCAGTTGATCCCTAAGATCTTGACAAACAAGAAACAAGCCGCCTTGTCCTAGTCTTTCCTCGCAGAGGGATAAAACTCAGATGCAACTTGTATTGTCAGGATCCCATATATCCATTTTTTTCTTCCATTGGGGAGAGATGACACTTTTGACCCTTATCCTCAATATCTTCTGATGTTCCCATCTTCTAGGGTCCCTCTACACGCCTGCCAAATCCTGGTGGCAAATCCCTGCACTCAGTAGTTCACACAGCTGCCAGCACCATCTAGATCCTGCACTTTGTGATTGAAACCCATTCGAAACCTTCCCTCTCGGTGCAGAGGGAAGACCCGTAGGTGGACTTGCCTAGCTGGCTTCTCAACTTTGGATCCTCAACTCTGTGGTTTTCTTTCAAGATCACAGTGTGAAGATTCTCTGCCCCACAACGCCTTCCTCCTACCAGCCCACCTTTGAGATTCATATATATTGCCTTTAACACTATGCAACTTTGTACTTTGCGTAGCGGGGGGAAAGAAACTATTATCTGACACACTGGTGCTATTAATTATTTCAAATTTATATTTTTGTGTGAATGTTTTTTTTGTTGTTTATCATGATTATAGAGTAAGGAATTTGTGTAAATATACTTGGTCCTATTTCTAGAATGGCACTGTCTGTTCACTTCTTCATTTTCCCCCTTCACTGGCACAATGTGTCTGTATACCTCCTTCCCTTCCGTCTGCAGTCCTTTGCCTTGCTCCTGTCCCCCATCGCTCGGCCCTGTGCCTTGTGTCTGCAGCATGTTCATTCTCTAGCGCCAATGTCCACCCGCTTCCCTCCACACCCAGCCGCTCCGCAGGGATGCCTCCCACCCTCCTCCACTGCAGGCCCGGCCCCCCGAAACTGCAGCCTGATGTTCCTGAGGCCCGCTCCCGAGCAGGCATGTCAGGTCAACAGGAGGTGCCGGGATGAAGATGTTTTGCTGAACGGCATCTTCAGCATCAATGTGGGCCTAACCGGGAATGAGCTAGAAATGCCCTTTCCAACAGTTGGAGCTATGGACGGGTCCATTTGAGAAGGGAGTGCGTGATCACTGAGCACTTAGAGGGCACCAGGGATGGAGTACAGACAGGTAGAGTGGGAGCGGCCGTGCATCGGGGTCTCCCCTTGCCGCCTGCTTGCATACCAGAGTCGGCTCCAAAGGCTTTGACTTGGCATACCCCTGGCTTTCCCTCGGCCGCTTCTACTGTTGCCAGAGGCCAGGCTCGTTCCTGCCAAGTTTTCACATCAGCGTCTCCTAGCTAGTTCCTCGTGGTAAGTGGCCACCTCCTAACAGAGACATTTTGTTCAAGGTCGCAGGACAAGGACTGTAGATCGACTGCCGGGATAGTTGTCCCTCTAGCCCGTGGGTCAGCCTCACACCAGTCAGTCGTAGGCCGCAGTGAAATTTGGAGTTTTTTTGTTTGGTTTGGTTTGGTTGCTTTTCTCCTTCTCCATCTGTGTAGTATATTTTTAAACAGAATTTTATTTTTAAAATAAAAAGGCTCTTTATAAGACAATACCTTCATTACACTCCTGCAATATGCATTATTTTATTGTATAGTTCTAGTTACCTGAATTTCATGTAATAAAATTGACAGGGTGGCTGCTGAAGAATGCTGGGGGTCGCGGGGGGGCGCGTATCCAGCTGCTCTCCGGAATTCTTCCTTGTAATCCCCAGGGTGGCCCTTTGATATGTGCCTTCACCTTAGCTGTTTGCCTTAATCTCTACAGTCTCGCTCTCCAGGGTGGTGAATAAAATGCAACACTTGGCCTTTTTTTTTTATGTTAAAAAAAAACCCAGTATTTTATTTATAATAAAATCTGAATATTTGTAACCCTTTATATTTGGTGTGGCCTGAGTGTGGTACTGGGGACAGAGGATGTTTTGAAAGGTACGATGAAGAGAAAGCTGCTCATAATACCTTCTTTGGGTGACTTATTTCCTTGAGAACAGTCCAATATGTGTGCAGGTACATGCTGTAAGTGTGTGTGTGTGTGTGTGTGTGTGTATGTGTATATGTGTGTATATATAATACATACAAATAATACACACACACACACACATATATATACATATTTTTTTCCCCTTCTCAGATGGGGATGCTTTGGTGTGGTCCAGAGGTAGGCAGACTTTTTCTGTAAAGAGCTAGACTGTACATATTGTAGGCTTCACACGCCTGTGGTCTCTGTTACACCGACTTTGCTCTTGCAGCCTGAAAGCAGCCCAGACAATGTGTAAACAAATGAGTCCAACACAACTATTTACAAAAACAGGCGCGGGCCTGAGGGCTGCCATGTACTGAACCCCTTGGGGTATGATTAATGCCTGCTTAGTGACACCTGAAGACTATTTTAAAATTATTTGGGCTTCTTAAATTAGCAGCTGTATATAAAAAGTTGTCCTTCTACCTTTAAATATGCCCATAACTTCAGCTAAAGGGGGTCTCTTGAGGTGATGAAAACCACTCTCAAACATAAGGGAAGAGAGAGAAAAAGTAAGTGATGTGCTGAGCCGGCAGGCCAGAAGTAGCTCATCTGTGCCTCACCCCATCTGGAGGGTTGACCCTGCGGGAGTAACCTGAGGCCAGGTGAAGAGTTTCAGATACAGAGACAGCAGGAAGGCTTTGGTTTCCTCTTTGGTGCTCTGTTCATAGCCCTGAGTCCCTGCGGATGACCTGCCACCTTCCTGGTCTTCTAAATCCTTGTAACTATGACACCTGTGAAGAACCTGAACTCTCCTCGATTGGACTTGCTCAAAGAGAGCTTTAGAGGGCACTAGTTCCTCGCTTTCACGCATACCCTGTTCTTAACCTGTTTGTAGGACCTGATTCAAACGCAAACACATCTTTCTAGTTACTGTGTCCAAGTGATGAGTGGGATTTTAAAAACTTGCTCCTATTCCTTTTGTTAGTTCAGGGTCAGCAGTTTCTCCAAAGTTGGTATCGGTATAATCTGATTCAAAATATCCCCAAAGGCTTACTCCTTAAAGTAAGCGTTTTTAGCCCCCTGATAAATCTGAATTCACCAGCCCCACTTCACTAAGCTCAAAATGGAATGCTGAAGAAGACCTCTGGCACCCAGGAGAGCCACCAAGTAGAAAGGCAGATGGTACCTGCTTCGTAGGGTGAGGAAGGACCCATCCCAATGAAAGATCACCTCTTTCCAGGCCCTTAGCTTATGGGACCAGAAACAAGACAGTTGTACATAGCATGTAATTTTGCCTGTTCACACTAAGCAGGTTTAAATGAAGTAGGTATTAGTCACTGGAGTGAAAAATAAGAAACTTCCTAGTAAATAATCTATCAGAGGCTCCAGTGGTTCAGAAGTTATTAGCGAGAGTGCCTTATATTTGTGCTGAGTCCCCCATGATGATTATATCTGCTCTCCACAAATGATATTCTAAATAGAAATTAATTATATGCAGGGCGCCTCAGTGGCTCAGTCGGTTAAGCATCTGCCTTCGGCTCAGGTTGTGATCCCAGAGTCCTGGGATGGAGCCCCCTGCAGGCTCCCTGCTCAGTGGGGAGCCTGCTTCTCCCTCTCCCTCTGCCCCTACCCTGCACGTGTTCTGTCTCTTTCTCTCTCAGATAAGTAAATAAAATCTTTTTTAAAAAATTAATGACATGCTTAAGAAAAGGAAATATTTAGCAGAAGTCAAATAAAAGCTGAGAAGTTCCTGGTTGGGAATTCAAATAAGAGAAACCTCAACATTTCCAGTGTTGTTATAACATGTCATTTCTTTAACTCTTCTCCATGGTGTTCTTTCTCCTTTCCATTACAGGAAAGCCTGAGGTCAAGGTGTCACCTGCTCTGTTGACATTGGTCAGTCCTTCCTTGTGTCCACCACCCCCCCAGCCTTGTACTGGCTTCTAGCTTTGACACATGTTTATTGATCAGGTGTCTCTCACCGACCTTTCCCCCCAACCTCCCTTCTAATCCACAAGATCCGGGTCTGTGTATTTCTGTCCACATCCTCAGGGCTAGGGGGCATACAGGAAGTGGTCACTGGGTTTTCTAAATGGTCTAAAGGTAAAATCAACCTTTCTCATTTGCCTATTCTCCCATTTCTGTTACTTTCCCCCTGCGTGAGCAGAAAGGGAGGTTTATGGATGCTTGTTAATGCCCTCTGTCCCCTGCTTTCAGCATTGTTCTGCTCTCTCAGTACTCCCACCGAAGGAGGGATTTGCAGGAAGAGAAGCAAAACCGCTGTCTTTCACCAATCGGCACAGCACCCACACACCACACATAGCTCTGCAAGCTGCAACCGGCTGGTGTGATCCGGTCTGCAAGGCCCGCTGCTCTGCATCCCAGCCTCACACTAGCTGCTCCCAGCACTGCGCGTGTGTCTGCCAGTTTTACCCACAGCCCCTTCTGTAGATACCTCTGGCTCCTGGCCCACATTATAACATTAGTTCCCTTTCTTTTTACCTAACTCCTGGGAATGGGCCTGGTAAATTTCAACAGCTTGGTTAGTGTTTCATCCTGTTCGCCCGGGTGCCTTGGAGGGCCTTGTAATATAGGCCATGCAGGGATTGCTTGTGATGAATTCACTATAGTTTGTATTTATTTCTATAAGAAGTTGAACATCAGGCCCTTGATCATGCCCTTAAGCATCTGCCTTCGGATCAGGTCATGATCCCAGAGTCCTGGGATGGAGCACCCTGCAGGAATGTAACCCCAGGGTTACATTCTTGACCCCCTTGATCAAGAATGTAACCCTCGGATACAGCATTGTTCCCATGAGTATGTCAATTTAACTGATTCTCTGAAATGTGCCTGGTCATACCTTTGAGGACACCTCTCTATCCTCCCATAATCTTTTTTCACCATGGCTAGTAACCAAAAATTCTACTTGAACTTCAGACTGTTGCTTTTGAGCCTGTGGTTTCCGTACTTGTACTGAGATCCTTTGTCGTTTCAGCAACTAAATGCAACCATCAGGAGCACCAGGGCGGCTCAGTCAGCTAAGCATCTGACTCTTGATTTTGGCTCAAGTCATGATCTCAGGGTCATGGGATCAAGCCCCCACTGGGCTCTGTGCTCAGCACAGAGTCTGCTTATCCCTCTCCCTCTGCTCCTCCCCCAAATCCCTCTCTTTATTTCTGTCTAAAATAAATAAAATCTTTAAAAAAAATAAGTAAATGCAATCATCAAATTGTGTGCCATAGCAACTAGTGTTAAGGATTTCTAATGCAGGGGCGCCTGGGTGGCTCAGTCGGTTAAGCATCTGCCTTTGGCTCAGCTCATGATCTCAGGGTCCTGGGATCGAGTCCCCATGTCAGGCTCCCTGCTCAGTGGGGAGCCTGCTTCTCCCTCTCCCTCTGTGTTCCTCTCTTTCAAAAATAAATAAATAAAAATATTAAAAAAAAAAATTTCTACTGCAACTCCTTTCTGAATATTCTGTGCTTGCCTTCCAGGATGTAGGATCCGATTTTTCCTCTGTGTCAGTTGATCCCCGTTCTTTGCATGGGCAATTTTTTCCTCCTGAGCATGGTTTCTAAGTTGAGGTTAGTGCCGAGTAAGCTCAAGTCCAGCCATGAGCAGAAATGTCTGGAGAAGATGTGCTGTCCTAGTGTGGATTACACGTTCCTGGGTTGCTGAGCCAGCGTCCAAGTTAAAGGCTCAGGAGAAACAACTGCAATTTCAGTGATTACATGTTTAGCAGGGTCAGAGAAGTTTGTGTTACAACTTGCTCATCCCTCTTGGCTCAGACAGTTTGCTATCTGCGCTGTCTCGGTCGGGCTGAGACAGAGGCTCAGACCTGGCCAGAGAGATGGGTTTTGCCACACAGATTTCAGACAGGTTGCCCTCCTTACATTTCTGAAGGACTGGGGAAGGACTAACGCCATCAAGATATTTTGCACCATATACTATGTTTTTAAAGGTACCTTCATGATTATTTTCTTTCATTTGCCCCTGATTTATTGAGGATCTTCATTTGGCCAATGAGATGCAACCATGGCTTGCTGCCCCATCACCCTAACCACTATTTTAGCATGTTGCCGTATTCTCTCATGATTTTGATCCATTTTCCTATTATGTACATGTACTTCATAATAAGGTTCCTCAAATCCCTTTTTTGGAGAGATCAAGGCAGGATTTAAATATATTAGTAATTTGCCCAATATTAAGGAACCAGTTAGTGGCAGAATTATTACTTGGAATGGAATTGTGTTTCAGCATCTGGGCCATATACCCTACACAGCTCACACCCCTCTCGTTGCCTGTGGTTTTTCCCTCTCTTTCTCTTCCCTTACTTAGGATCAGGGATAAGGAGCATAGAGCTGGCTTACCTAGCTTCCTCTCATGTTAACATCTGATATAAGCATGGTACATTTATCAAAACTAAGAAACTACTATTGGTAGAAGACTTAACTATAGTCTTTTGCCTGCTTTTAAAAAACCTTCTTTTTTGAGACCCCATTTTTAAAGTAATACTGAAGTAATACATGGGGCACCTGGGTGGCTCAGTCGTTGGGTGTCTGCCTTCGGCTCAGGTCATGATCCCAGGGTCCTGGGATGGAGCCCAGCATCGGGCTCCCTGCTCGGTGGGAGGCCTGCTTCTCCCTCTCCCGCTCCCCCTGCTTGTGTTCCCTCTCTCGCTGTGTCTCTCTGTCAAATAAAAAAATATAAAAATAAATAAATAAAAAATAAAGTAATACTGAATTTTTTTTTAATTTTTTTAAAAGATTTTATTTATTTATTTGAGAGAGAGAATGAGAGAGAGAGAGCATGGGAGGGGAGGGTCAGAGGGAGAAGCAGACTCCCTGCTGAGCAGGGAGCCCGATACAGGACTCGATCCCGGGACTCCAGGATCATGACCTGAGCCGAAGGCAGT